TTCCTTGGTCCAGTTTATTCTTGGTGGGTTAAATGAATGAGAAGTGAATCTTTATTGTAATGTTTGAGTTAATAATCCTGAGTCAGTATGGAAAGTTCAATTTTTTTATACATTTTTCATTTGATTTCAATGTACTCGAAAACAGTATAGTTATTGCTCATGTCAATAGGCTTTGTATTATATTTCCTGTATTTCCTATCTGTGTAAAACCTTTAGTCTTTTTCTGACCCCTGATGTGTGCAGAGAATAAATAATAATTTGTTTTGCAATATTTCACACATTTGTATTCATTATACAAATATGTTTTATTAAGATACAGCTTTTCTCAATATTAAGGCAATTTCTAACTTCATTTACTTTTATTTGGTGCAGCAGATTGCCCTCATTCTAATAAGCAATGGTTGAATTCTCACATTGAGTGAATAGTCTACTTTAGTAAATGCCAATGTCGCCTCGAGGTGGCCAAATTGTATTGATTAGAAACGATCAACTTCACTGAAAACCCAATGATACTGAAATGAAAATAATCCATTCATCAAACCCTGAGATTCAAATAACTGAGAAACAAACAACCTACTGATTCACTGTATTATTAGGCTTACTTATACAATGGGTGGGTCTAACCCTGAATGCTGATTGGTTAAAATCGTATTCCAGACGGTGTGCATTACACAAGTTACCACCGGCTAAAACTATGACGTTGAAATATCTATTTACTCTGTTCCATCTGACTGCGCAATCCACTGTCTCATCAGCCCAGCCAGACAATTTATAAACTTGATCTCCACTATAAGAAGCATGTAGACATTATCTCCCATTTCTTTTAGACTAGCATTTGCTTTTCAACAGCGGAGATTTGTATAAACCTTGCTGCAGACAGCTTTTCTCAGCCAGTCGAAATCATGAATCAACTGGCATCATTTTTATGGATATATACAAAGAAATGTCAACAGAAAACAGGTCAAACGAAACGAAATGCAGCTAGTTTGCAGACTTTCCAGCTTCAGTTTGAAGCGATTGTGTTAGCTGTATTGTTGGCTAGCTTCTCTGAACAACAGTGTCCTGATGAGAGAGCACATTGTCTATGCCATGCGAAATCGTGCACCATTAGCTCATTATTATGGATGTATCCGAATAAATGTCATTATACAACTGGTGGGTCTAATCCTGAATGCTGATTGGTTAAAAGCGCATTCCAGCCGGTGTCTATTCCACAAGTTACCACCAGTTAAATGTATGACGTTAAAATGCCTATTTACTCTGTTCCATCTCACTGCGCAATCCACTGTCTCATCAGCCCAGCCAGGCAATTTATAAACTTGATCTCCACTATAAAAAGCATCTAGGCATTATTTCACATTTCTTTTAGACTAACATTTAGTTTTCAACAGCGGAGATTTATATAAACCTTGCTGTTTGTCTGTCCGACGTTTGCAAATAAAATTCAATATTCAAATTCCATCTCCAGGTGTCCCATAGTAAAGAACATGTCGGGAGTGGGGACGAGACAGACAGGCAGGCAGGCAGCGTTTCTCAGCCAGTCAAAATCATGAATCAGCTGGCATAATTTGAATAGATATATCCAAAGAAATGTCAATTCAAAAAAGGTAAAACTAAACAAAGTGCAGCTAGTTTGCAGTCTATCCAGCTTCAGTTTGAAGTGATTGTGTTAGCTGTGTTGTTGGCTAGCTCCTCTGAACAACAGTGTCCTGACGAGAGAGCACATTTTCTATGCCAGGCGAAATCGCGCCTCATTAGCTCATTGTAATGGATGTGTCCAAATAAATATCACTAGAAAACAACTTAAACAAATGCAGCTACTGTTGTTATTCTGGCTGCACTGTTTGACGTGACTGTAAGTTAGCCATAGTTGACTTCGTCTCGGGCCTAACAACACCCATGCCAGTATATCCTCCAAACACTGGCTTCGAGGGCATTATCACTTAACTAGAAAACAGCTAAAACAAACGCAAATGCAGCTACTTTGCTGCTATTCTGGCTGCACTGTTTGACGTGACTAAATTAGCCGTAGTTGGCTAGCTACAGTAGCAAGCAAGGGATAAGGACGTTGCCAGCCAGTATGGCAATGGAACATTTAGAACAACCGACTGGGTCGTGTCCACAGATACAGAACAAAAAGACTTAAGGGACTGGGTCGCGTCTCTGGCAACCAAACCGATAGAACGAACGACCAGCCGGCTTGGGTAGCAACCTTTGATTTGTGTCGGGACTATACAGTGCATTTGGAAAGTATTCAGACACCTTGACTTTCACCAGAAAAAATGACGTTTTAGCCTTACTCTAAAATGGATTAAATTAAGTTTTCCCTCATCAATCTACACACAACACCCCATGATGACAAAGCGACAACAGGTTTTTACATTTTTTTTGCAAATGTATTAAAAATTGAAAAACAGAAATACCTTATTTGCATAAGTATTTAGACTGCTATGAGACTCGAAATTGAGCTCAGATGCATCCTGTTTCCATTGATCATCCTTGAGATGTTTCTACAACTTGGAGTCCACCTGTGGTAAATTCAATTGATTGGACATGATTTGGAAAGGCACACACCTGTCTATATAAGGTCCCACAGTTGACAGTGCATGTCAGAGCAAAAACCAAGCCATGAGGTCGAAGGAATTGTCTGTAGAGCTCAGAGACAGGACTATGTTGAGGCACAGATCTGGCGAAGGGTACCAACAAATGTCTGTAGCATTGAAGGTCCCCAAGAACACAGTGGTCTCCATTATTCTTAAATGGAAGAAGTTTGGAACCACCAAGACTCTTTCTAGAGCTGGCCGCCCGGCCAAACTGAGCAATTGGGGGAGAAGAGGCTTGGTCAGGGAGGTGACCAAGAACCCGATGGTCACTCTGAAAGAGCTCCAGAGGTCCTCTGTGGAGATGGGAGAACCTTCTAGAAGGACAACCATCTCTGCAGCACTCCACCAATAAGGCCTTTATGGAAGAGTGGCCAGACGGAAGCCACTCCTCAGTAAAAGGCACATGACAGGCCGCTTGGAGTTTGCCAAAAGGCACATAAAGGACTCTGACCATGAAAAACAAGATTCTCTGTTCTGACGAAATAAAGATTGAACTCTTTGGCCTGAATGCCAAGCGTCACGTTTGGAGGAAACCTAGACTATGGTGAAGCATGGTGATGGCAGCATCATGCTGTGGGGATGTTTTTAAGCGGCAGGGACTGGGAAACTAGTCAGGATTGGGTGAAAGGCGCAAAGTAGAGAGAGATCCTTAATGAAAACCTGCTCCAGAGCGCTCAGGACCTCAGACTGGGGCAACGGTTCACCTTCCAACAGGACAATGATCCTAAGCACACAGCCAAGACAATGCAGGAGTGGCTTTGGGACAAGTCTCTGAATGTCCTTGAGTGGCCCAGCTAGAGCCTGGACTTGAACCCGTGCAGTAACGTGCAGTAAAATATAATATGCATCTCAAATAATAATCCAACTGGGCATAACAAAATACTTTTGATGTATCCTTATCAATTACTACCTTTTTATAGATGTGGTGAATACTATAGGTATCACCCTATGCGCGAAAAATTTAGTTATATAAGTGCACAGGGCTATGGCCAGTGACGTGAACGGGAAAAAGCGTTGAGGGAGGAGCGCCCTTCTCAAATCTGCGCAGCTTGGTCGTGTTGTCAACAAGGCAGCATTGTGTATCGTTCAGAAGCATACAGCTCTTTTCCATAAAATATATGTTCAAACTAGTTTTCATTGGGAAGGCAGATAAAGCAGTTTTGCATGTAAAAACAAGAATCCTACTCATTACTCCACGTGCTCAAACCACGTTACTTTTGTTTTGAGCCGACTTCGCCGTCGACCAAAACTGGACACCTGGCTCACGCCCGGGAGGAATCCCAGGTTCAAAACGATGCACTCAACGCTAACCCGCTTCACCCGGGGCATTAATAGAACACCCTCGCTGAAGTGTTTTTTTTTTTTTGGCGTTGATAAATTGGCCAACATGTGACGTAGCGGTAACTGAGCTCCAATAAAAATAGCTATATGTAAATTACCTCTTCTTCAGTAGGAAGTCGGGCTGCAGTTGCTAGGCGCTCGCGTGTCTCAGCTGTAGTAAATGCTATAGTAAACAGTCCGTGGCTACACGGAGTAGCTGTGCAGTGTACACATATAGCAAAACAGCTTCTATACAGGCATGTAAGGAGACTGGTTCGGACGAAAGCTCAAGGAGACCGACAGAAATATCTTCGGGGTAAAAATGGTATGTTGTGCATGGTTGCTAACCAGCTGACTTGCTTCCCTTTTTACAGAAACAATTGCTACTGCGTGTGTGCTGAAATTAGGGACTCGGCTGACAGAGGGCAGTCTACTTTTTCTCTAGTAAACCATGTTCATTGTCTGTTACTGTTCATTCATTCACTGTCTGTTACACTGTATCAAACGTGGGTAACATTTTTCTATTCTAGACTAGATTGTAAGCGTAGGATGAGTTGTCTCGCGCAAGTTCAACTCTAACGCATACACATTAACTGGCAAACTTGACTGCTAAATATTGATGTCCGAATGATTGGAATTTGTACAATGATACTGTTTTATATAATATAATTTGTATATACATGAAGTCAAACAGATTAGACTTTTGCATTCAACAATATGCTGACAGTTTGCTATTTGAGTGACTTGTTGTTCCTCTTTTCCAGCGCTGCCAGATTCTGAATTGCATGTCCAGGAGTAACCTTAGTTATTGAACAGAGGCAAGGCAAGGTGGGCAAAAATGTTTGACACTTTGTCTGACCGACCTCATTTCATTCTGCTGTTTATGGACTTCAAATCAGTCTTATTGTGGTCATATCTGATCTCATTATCCTTATCAAGCTCTAATTTACATGATTTATCAATGCAATGACTGCCTGTGCCTCTTTCTATGCCCTCTGCACCTGTGTGCCATGTGTTGCTGTAAGATATTGTAATCATATGTTAATTGTGCCTAAACATAGGTCCTCTCTGTCAACCATGAGTACACTCGTGGAGCCGGGTGATGTCCACACCATTGCCCCCGAGATGCCAGCCATGTTTGATGGCATGAAGCTGGCTGCTGTCGCAACGGTGCTCTATTTCCTGGTGCGCTGTCTGAATCTGAAGAGTCCCACGGCCCCGCCTGATGTCACCTATCAGGACACGCCCCTCAATCGCTACCTGCTCAAGTCCTGCCCCATCCTGACCAAAGCGTGAGTACTGATACCTATCCAGCAGATAGGATGCCATTTGGGACACAGCCACTATCACCTATAGAGGCCTGGTCAAAAGTAGTAAACGATATAGGAAATGGGGTGCCATTTGGGATGCAAACTGTGTCCACTGTTCCCTTGCACCGGCGCACACAGGCCTACTTGAGAGCAAGCACACAAACATGAGCGAAATAGCAGTAATGCCATGCAGTGCTTCCTGGAACATGTTATGTTGTTGTGAATATGGTATCAATATCAAATTCCAGAGCAGACTGGTACATGCCACACACACAGACAGTCACACACTCATACTCATAAATCCACACATACTGTAGCTACAGGACATACTATCCCTTTTTCATAAACACCCTTAATCTGTCCTTTCCCCTGAGTCGTGATCACTTTCAACCCAGTCTTGATAGTGCCCTTTTCACAGTACCTCCCTGTGAGACCAATCCTCTACACTCCCTGCCTCAGTCAACGGCTGTCCAGACAACCTGAGATGCCCTGTGTGTGGGTATAGGAGGTGTCCTATTAAGACTATTATTTTACAGCCACATCGGAATTACATAACATCTACAGTATGGACCACACTGCAGACTTAGCATGACTAAATTACACTGTCTTTACATGGATAAAGTGAACATTTTAAGAGAAACTCTCTAGCTAAAGGATATAGGCAGCTGTTTGTCTTGTGTTTCATTGAGGCATATTTGCAGATCAGCTTAATATTGCAAATAGATTGTAACTTCCATCAATGTAATTGTCTGCATCACTTCCAATCCCCCATGTTTTTTTTAATATATATATACTCCCCTTTTATTACTTTTCAACCCCGCAATCCTTTCCCTACTTGGGGTAAATTAGTGAACAACAATGCTTAGGCCTCTACTTCCAGCTTATACTTACTATCTACATTTTATGGACACAGTCAATTTTACAATAATTATATTTTATTTGTTTTTGCTCCTGAACTTCTTCTACTCTCAACCTCTCCGATCATTTTCATGATGTCCATCCGGTTTGCTTCTATATGCCATATCTTTTTAACTGTGCTCTTTCCCAAAAGCTCCCAACATACAACCTATATACTTATTATGGACACAGTATGCTTACATTATTAGTTATCTTGTTATTAGTCCCATCCTTCAACTCCATTCAACACCTCCCATCTATCTCTTAACACCATCCATATAAGATTTCTATTTGCCATATATATTTCAACTGTACTGTGATGTCTTACAAAAGTTCTGAACCTTTCTATTCTCATTGCTTCTACCGATTGTGAATTAAAAATAAACATTTTTGCTAAAAGTATTATTATATTATTGATTGATTTAACTATGGCTTTTCAGATCACCCAGTAATGCTATCTGCAAGGTTAGCTCCACGTAAATATTGCAATCCTTTAGCCATTCCTGGACCTGTGTCCAAAAACAAGCTACAAATGGACAGAACCAAAACAAATGATCTAATGATTCTGTCTCTTCACAGCAAAATCTGCAGAGCTGGGAAGACTGTATCCCCCATATAAATAACATTCTATTGGTAGCAAGAATTTTATATAATTTAAATTGAAAGATTCTAATTTTTGAATCCGGTGTCGTTTTGCGTGTCAGTTCATAAACACTATGCCATGGGATCGGTACGTCAAAAATCTCTTCCCAACTATTTTGCAATCTATATGGGACGGCTGTCAATCCTTTGGTCCTTAAATGAAACTGATATACTTTTTTATTTATCACAGTTTTCCTTAACCAATTATGTTCTTTAATGCAAGGCCGACAGACAAGTTCCTTACTTTCTCCCCCTTCCACTTTCCTCTTCCATTTTTGCGGTAAGGCTGCAATTACAGTGGGGGAAAAAAGTATTTAGTCAGCCACCAATTGTGCAAGTTCTCCCACTTAAAAAGATGAGAGGCCTGTTATTTTCATCATAGGTACACGTCAACTATGATAGACAAATTGAGGGGAAAAAAATCCAGAAAATCACATTGTAGGATTTTTAATGAATTTATTTGCAAATTATGGTGGAAAATAAGTATTTGGTCAATAACAAATAAGCAAGATTTCTGGCTCTCACAGACCTGTAACTTCTTCTTTAAGAGGCTCCTCTGTCCTTCACTCGTTACCTGTATTAATGGCACCTGTTTGAACTTGTTATCTGTATAAAAGACACATGCCCACAACCTCAAACAGTCACACTCCAAACTCCACTATGGCCAAGACCAAAGAGCTGTCAAAGGACACCAGAAACAAAATTGTAGACCTGCACCAGGCTGGGAAGACTGAATCTGCAATAGGTAAGCAGCTTGGTTTGAAGAAATCAACTGTGGGAGCAATTATTAGGAAATGGAAGACATACAAGACCACTGATAATCTCCCTCGATCCCTCGCAAGATCTCACCCCGTGGGGTCAAAATTATCACAAGAACGGTGAGCAAAAATCCCAGAACCACACGGGGGGACCTAGTGAATGACCTGCAGAGAGCTGGGACCAAAGTAACAAAGCCTACCATCAGTAACACACTACGCCGCCAGGGACTCAAATCCTGCAGTGCCAGACGTGTCCCCCTGCTTAAGCCAGTACATGTCCAGGCCCATCTGAAGTTTGCTAGAGTGCATTTGGATGATCCAGAAGAGGATTGGGAGAATGTCATATGGTCAGATGAAACCAAAATAGAACTTTTTGGTAAAAACTCAACTCGTTGTGTTTAGAGGACAAAGAATGCTGAGTTGCATCCAAAGAACACCATACCTACTGTGAAGCATGGGGGTGGAAACATCATGCTTTGGGGCTGTTTTTCTGCAAAGGGACCAGGACGACTGATCCGTGTAAAGGAAAGAATGAATGGGACCATGTATTGTGAGATTTTGAGTGAAAACCTCCTTCCATCAGCAAGGGCATTGAAGATGAAACGTGGCTGGGTCTTTCAGCATGACAATGATCCCAAACACACCGCCCGGGCAACGAAGGAGTGGCTTCGTAAGAAGCATTTCAAGGTCCTGGAGTGGCCTAGCCAGTCTCCAGATCTCAACCCCATAGAAAATCTTTGGAGGGAGTTGAGAGTCCGTGTTGCCCAGCGACAGCCCCAAAACATCACTGCTCTAGAGGAGATCTGCATGGAGGAATGGGCCAAAATACCAGCAACAGTGTGTGAAAACCTTGTGAAGACTTACAGAAAACGTTTGACCTGTGTCATTGCCAACAAAGGGTATATAACAAAGTATTGAGAAACTTTTGTTATTGACCAAATACTTATTTTCCACCATAATTTGCAAATAAACTCATTTAAAAATCCTACAATGAATTTAACCACAATATTTGTTGCATTATTTGTTCTGTCGTTTCTGGAGGATTAAATTGAAATTGCAACCAACTTTCTATGGCTTGTTTTAGAAATAGTGATATTTGGGAGATGATTTCCTTTTCAAATAACTGAAAATGAGCAGTTGTAATCTGAATAAAGGGGAAAAAGGCCATTCTTGAACATTGGGTGAGACAATCTTACTAATTTGTTTGAGAACCAGTTCAGATGTAAGTATAACTTTTGTATGACTGAAGCTTTTAGTGATAGGTCTAATGCTTTTAATATTTAATAATTTCTGTCCTCCGAATTCATATTCATTATATAAATAGGCCCTTTTAATTTTGTCTGGCTTGCCGTTCCAAATAAAATTTGAATATTTTTATTCTCATATAATTTAAAAAAAACTGTTCGCTAGGCTTAGGCAAGACCATAAGCAAATAGGTAAACTGGGATAATACTAAAGAGTTAATCAGGGTGATTTTTCCACAAATTGACAGGTATTTACCTTTCCATGGTAGCAAGATCTTATCTATTTTTGCTCACTTTCGATTAAAATTTATTGAAGTGAGATCATTTATTACATTTGGGATATGTATTCCGAGTATATCCACATCACCATCAGACCATTTTATTGGTAAACTACATGGTAATGTAAAAATTGTATTTTTTAGTGATCCAATACGTAATATAGTACATTTGTCATAATTTGGTTGTAATCCAGAGAGATTAGAAAATGTATCTTGATCCTCTGAGGCTGTGGAGGGATTCTAGTTGTGGATTTAAAAGAAAACATGAATCATCAGCGTACAATGACACACCTTTGTTTTCAATCCCTGGATTTCTAATCCTCTGATATTATTATTGGATCTGATTTTAATAGCTAACATCTCGATAGCCACAATAAATAGATATGCCGATAGTGGACAACCTTGTTTCACGCCTCTTGACAGTTTAAAACTTTCTGATAAATGCCCATTATTTACTATTTTACACCTAGGGTTACTATACATGGTTTTGACCCATGTTATAAGAGATTCTCCAAAATTGAAATGCTCCAGGCATTTATATATAAACCCCAGTCGTACTTTATCAAATGCCTTTTTGAAGTCTGCTATGAATACCAGGCCTGATTTCCCATATTTTCCATAGTGTTCTATTGCTTCCAATACTTCCCTTATATTATCTCCAATGTATCTTCCATGTAAAAAACCTGTCTGATTGAATGAATAATATCCGACAATACCTTTTTAATTCTATGCGCTATACATTTTGCTCGAATTTTTGCATCACAACACTGAAGTGTAAGGGGCCTCCAATTTTTTTAATGGACTGGATCTTTATATTTTCCACTTGTATCCTGTTTCAGTAATATTGAGATATTCTTCTTGAGTGTCAGATAATCTACCATTTACATAGCAGTGATTAAAACATGCTAATAACGGTCCTCTTAGTATATCAAAAAAGGTTTGGTATGCCATCCAACCCTGGAGTTTTCCCGGACTTAAAGTCTTTAATTGCATCCAGAAGTTCCTCCTCTGTAATTTCACCTTCACATGAGTCTTTCTGTATGGCTGTTAATTTTACATTATCAATAGAAAAACATTCTCTACAATTAGCTTCAGTTAGAGGAGATGGAGGCGACTGAAAAGAAAACATATGCTTAAAGTACCTTGTTTCCTCCTTCAAAATATAATTTGGTGAATTATGGGTGACTCCGTCAATTGTAACCAATTTCATTAAATTCTTTTTGGTAGCATTCCTATGTTGAAGATTAAAAAAGAATTTTGTGCATTTTTCCCCATATTCCATCCAGTTTGCTTTATTTTTTATAATATATTACACTTGATCTTTCTTGAATAAGTTTCTCCATTTCTTTTTGTTTTTCCTCTAATTTATTCTGAGCCTCTATGTTAGTTTTTATTGCCGTCTATCTGTTCTGTTAGACTTTCTATTTCCTTTGTTAGTATAAACTCTTTTGACCTAAATTGCTTTTGTTTTCGAGATGAGTACTGAATTGCATGGCCTCTAAAGGCACATTTAAAGGAGTCCCATACAATAAGGGGATTTGCTGTACCTATGTTATGTCGGAAAAAGTCAGTTATAAATTCCTTTGTTCTAATTATAAATAAATTTACCATCCAATAGGCTTTGATTAAATTTCCAATATCCTCGCCCACGTGGAAATTCAGTAAGAGTAATGTATATGCCAATTATATGATGGTCCGACCGCATTCTGTGCCCTATCAACACTTTTTAAAACTTTTGGTGCCAACGAGAATGAGATAAGAAAGTCAAGACGACTAGCTTGATTGAGTCTCCGCCATGTATATCTCACTAGATCAGGATATTTAAGCCTCCATATATCTACTAGTTCTAATGTATCCATGACATTTCACAATTTCCTTAAGAGCATGTGGGTGATTGTTTGTGGTGTGAATTCCTTTACGGTCCATTGAGCTATATAAAACAGTATTATAATCCCCCACCATAATAATATTGTCTTGAATTGCTTGCAGGGTTGATAATTTATTATATATATTGTCAAAGAAGTGTGGATCATCATTATTTGGTCCGTAAAGGTTAATGAGCCATATCTGTTTATGGTCCAATAACATATTTAAAATAATCCATCTACCTTGCGTATCTATTTGGACAATTTGCACATTCGGATCGAAATTACTATTAATTAATATCATCACCCCTTTTGAATTTCTTTGCCCATGGGAGAAGTATATTCCCCCCCCCCCCCCCCCCATTCCTTTTTCCACGCAACTTAATCTTGAATTATTGAATGAGTTTCCTGTATACAATAGATATTATATTCCTTCTCTTTGAGCCATGTAAATATTGTTCTTCTTTTGTTATCAGCTAAACCATTACAATTATAACTGGCTATACTTATTTCACCACTTACCATAATGAGATACAGGTTTCATATATTTTTGTAAATTTACCAATAAAAAATACCGTAATGATTGAGTGTCCATATAGCTGTACCATGATATTTGCATTGCTACTGAGTAACCCTTCAATTGTTCTCCAATAATTCCCCCGCTAAAGCCCCTCCCCATCCCAAATTGAGCCGTCATCCCAGTGATCAGCATCCCACCCACGTTCCTCCGGATCCCTAAGGCCCCGAGAGGCCAGGACCCATCCATCGAAAACAGCACACAGTGCCACCCACAAATCCGAAGCAGATTAACTGCCAAAAGCATTTCCAATGCTGTCACCTCATATATTAAAAAAAATAATGCATATCCTATTTTCCATCATTATCAATTAATATGCGTAATAATGTCGGCAGTTCATGCGTAGGATTTTAACATATAACCCGGATTGCCATTGTATTACATTTAATTTATTGACAAGCAATTATTATCCTACCAAATAATTTCAGTGGTCCATCCCATACCCCCCACAACAGATGCCGGACAAACACACACACTCACATACTCCAACACACTCAACCCCCCTCCTCCACAATCCACCATAAAATCAGATACTCAACGGCTGTTATATCCCAGAGCCCAACTCAAGAAAGGACCTGATTTACGAGTGCACATACAGTTACAGCTGATTGAGAAAGCATGCAGATTGAGCTGAAATTGACAACAGTGTGAGATTTGATTAATCTACTTAATCTATGTCAAGTCCTAGTTGATGGAGATCAGATCCACCCTCTTCACCTGAGACACACACTCTGATCCCCTGTTGTAACCATTTTTCCCAAGCATCTCCGTGCAGTCAGACCTTTGATTATTTTGTGCCACCTGGGCCACAATGATAAACCCCCTCTCTGATTGTCCGAGTGTGACCCCATCCCCATGGGTCACTGCAGCCAGTGTTGCCAGCACTGCCACTACCTGGGTGGGGGTACCCCACCGGCTAGGTAAAAGGTCGTCAAGGTTCTCATTAGCAGCTTTGAGAATTTCCTTGTATATAATGCTCTCCCATCAGGGGGCTCTGGCTTTGTAGGACCAACCCTGCCAGGCAGGCTCAGAATCTTGAGGGGGCGGTGCTGCTCAAGTAGGTCTCTGACCGCATTTATTTCTCTGTTTAGGCTGCATACTCACAGCAGGTCCATAAAAGAGATGGGAACTTCTCTTTGGTGTATGGGTCACTCAGGTGGGTGTCCAGGATATAGGGTTAGGGATCTTTCCATCATGATAGGACAATAAAACATTTGATTAGATGTATGCTATATTTAAAAATGTATATCCCTCATCTATTATTATTATTATTATTATTATTATTATTATTATTATTATCTACACAAAATTGAAAGCTCTCTCTCACTACCCCTGCTCATAGACCCCTGTCGGCTCTGGGATATGCAACCATTTCCCCTCTCACTCACTAACGTCGCACCTTTCCAAACACAAAAATGCACACCACATGGTTGACTGCGGAAGAAATGGGCCGAGCGTGCAAACGCTCCTGCATCCACACCTGCCGCAAGGGGGAAAGGACGCCAGAGAGAACACAGGACCAACCACAACAACCATGTTAATGTCTTGCTACCAGTGATATATTACTAATAATTGATCCTATAGGCCAAAGCCTGGTCACAGAGCGGGGAAACAAGGTTACATAACACAGTTGTGTGTCTCTTTGCGTGAGATGGAAAGACTATGCCAGAGGCACAGCTAGGATCCAGAGTTACTCGCAAATTACATGTTTGTACATGCAATAACATGTTAACTTCATGCTAGATTTTGTGTGTGCTTTAGCGTGTGATTCCATGCACGTGTGTGTGTGTGGAATGTACCAGTTCGCTCTGGGATTTCATACCATGTTCACAACACAAAATGTTCCACAAGGCACTGACATTACTGCTCTTACATCACTGGCTCACTCTGCTCTCACACATCCACTCTTGCCCATTTGTGTATTCACACAGGTACATACCACCGCTGCTGTGGGGGAAGAGTGGACACCTCCAGACGGCCCTGTATGGGAAGATGGGGCGTGTCAGCTCCCCGACCCCCTGTGGGGTACGCAAGTACCTCCTCATGCAGGATGGGGCCACTGCCACCTTTGACCTCTTCGAGCCGCTGGGTGACCACCGCACTGGAGGTGAGATATTCGCTCCTAGGTGCAGAACTCAGCTTCCCCTGCCCCAATCATAACCTTAACCATTAGTGAGGAAATGTAAAAATGACCCAAGATCAGCGTCTAGGGGCAGCTTCACCCTACTCTGAGATATTCAGTGTCATGTACTGTACCACATGTCATGTACAGACCTGGGTTCAAATACTATTTTAAATCTTTCAAATACTTGTAGTGTTTGCTTGAATAATAATAATAACTTTATTTATAGAGCGCTTTTCGATAACATGTTAACAAAGTGCTTTGCCTCAAGTGTATAATAAAAGTACGATAGAGACTGGAGAAGAAAAACAAAATGGCTATATAAAATCATATATTTAAAAGCAGTTTTATAAAAGTGGGTTTTCAGGGGGGATTTAAAGAGGCACTGAATCAGCAAGCCTGATCTCCTCTGGCAGACCATTACAAAGTTCAACCTAGAATTTGGAATGGTCAACAATGCTTTACCAGGGGATCTCGAGCTGCATTTTGGCACATAGGGAGAGAGAAGTTCTGCAATGTAGGTTGGGGCTAAACCAAGCCTAACCTTAAACATAATTGTATCTGTTCTAAAGGTGTTTTGTAGCCAGTGTAGGGAAGCTAGCCTGCCTGGAGTGCCAGATGGGTGGGATTTGCACTTTTGCAATTATTGTGTTGGTTCAATTATGCCAAACGAGCTCAATCAAGCCCAGCTAAAGTATTTGAAATTATTTCAAATAGTATTTGAACCCAGGTCTGCTCATGTACCACATGCCATGTACAGTACTCTATCTGTGATTGGGCATGACTCAGCCTATTGGTTAGGGTTACAAAAACAGCTGTGCTGTGGTCAATACTGTCTGCAACTGTCTGCATCCCTTCAAGTCCTCAGTGTAGTGGCACTTCAAAATGAGTTTTGAATGCAACAGGTCTGCGATTCGTGTGCATTATTTTGACATTTTTAGGTAATTCATCGTATGGAATTGGCTTTGGTTGGTGTCCACTGTTTCCTTATCTTGAATACTGTATGTCAAGGTAACATATATATATATCTTTTTTTTTTTTCTCAAGGACTGTTGACTTTTTTGGCACCTGCCCTAGGGTATCTAATTGGGTTCGAGACCATTAGCAAGATGGTCCCCCTGAGAAAAGAGTAGCATAGTCACCGGCCTCCAATTTTGTAAACAAACACACCCTTTATCTGTGCAGTGACTCCCTGGTAGGCTTGGACGGTATACTGGGGTATTTTGAAATACAGATGGTATGATTTTAATAATAATAATAATAATAATAATAATAATAATAATAATGATAATAATAGCAGCTAAGTAGCTAGCCTGCAAGATCAAGCTTCTTGGTTACAGCAGAGGCAATCAATCAAGATTCTTGGGGCCTCATTTATAAATGTACCCCCAAAATGTGTGTGCGCCAATTTTCACGCAAAAGTTGGCATTAATAAAAATTGAACTTGATGTGAGAATGTGCTCACCTCCAAGCAAACTTTAGACCATGTGTACACACATCTCTGCTAGTGGTTGAAATATTGTATTGCAAGCTGGCAAGTAAGTGTTTTGTGCAAATGGGGGATATGATGAAAAGCTTATTCATAAAAAAACAGGAAAACAAGAATTCAGCCATTTGCCGTTGGTGAGAAGAGCGAATCTAAAATATAGACATTTCATATTTTTCCTATTTATTTTTGTTTTCATAACAGTTGCAGAAAAAAATGCTCACCTTTTCTGGCTGTGATGGGTTCATATTCCCCAAGTAGCCATACAACAAAGTACCATGCACAGCTCTCATTTAATTGGACCTAGTAAATAGACTGGCTATATGTATTTCAAGTTTTGCAATCCCATAGGCAGCGCTGTTTTATATTATTCAGTCAAATTTAACAGGTGAACAGTTGATATTTTACATTGAAGTAGGCTGTAGCATACATAAGCCTACCTTAATCTAAAATATCAACTGTTCACTTGTTAAATTCAACTGTGTATTATAAATAGCACTGCCTATGGGATTATTGCATTTCAACATCAAAAAAATGAGTAGCCTGCCCTAGACAATGTTTCAGAATTCACGGGCAGTCCATCATTTAGGTTGTGGGAAAAGTCGATGCAAAACATTGTTGAATTCAAACGTTATGCTGCCAGGTCCATAATAATTTGACATTGTTTTCTCTTTCAGAAACGGACACAGTCCTTTGCCAGATACAGCATAGATTAAAGCATTCTGCCAACTCAGTAAATAAACTGGTAGCTTATGTAAAATATTTGAAACTATGGTTAGGATACAGTATTGCTGTGCGACAGGAGCGCGACACCATTGCCTATTTTAATCTCCGAGCCTATACCAAGGCAGGACATTGTAACCCAATCTATTGATAAACTACATTTGTAAAAAAAAAAAAGTTATTGTCACCATAAAAGGTGAATGGAGGGCGTTTTCCAGGCAGAGTTTTAATGCTTGTTCACGCTCACACAGTTTTACAACCGGTCTGATTTATAACTGGGAAACATGCGTATGTATGGCGTGCGCCAAGTTTATAAATCTTAATATTGTTGTACCTGTGCAGACTTTTCAGAAATTGCGCATGCAGAAATGTTGTGTGAAATTTAAGCAACGGTTATAAATGAGGCCCCTGCTGCCTAAATGTGTTTTGTGCGTCCCCCCCCCCCCCCCAAATTAAAAAAAAAAAGAAATAGCGGCCCTTGTGTGCACTGCTGGTAATACCCTGTACCCCGGTCTGGTACAGAACGGTATGAAAATCTGGATGCCGCCTAACCCTACTCCTTGGTCTTGTTCATTAGGCACCACACAGAAGAAAATGACTGAAACAGGGAAGGACTACCGGGACTGGTCCAATGCAAATTTTAAATTTCCTGTTGCAAAATGTTTTAAAGCGTTTTCCACTGTGTGCCCTAATGAATATGACCCTGTTGCACATAGAATAGCATACTTTTCAACCTTCAATTTACCCTAACACCACCTACCCACGGACTCCCCTTTTGCACCCGTGTTTGTTTACTGTGTTTTTACTCCAAAGATGACATCACAATGGTGATCTGCCCGGGGATTGGTAACCACAGTGAGAAGCACTACATCCGCACCTTTGTGGATCACTCCCAGAGGCAGGGATACAGGTGTGCTGTTCTCAACCATCTGGGGGCCCTGCCCAACATCGAGCTCACCTCGCCACGCATGTTCACCTACGGTAAGACAGACAGGGCCAGGGCTCTGTTAAGTACGCATATTGTTGTCCTTTTAATAATAAAGCTGTGAAGAGACAGTCATTAGATCATTTATTTTGGTACTGTCCATATGTAGCTTGTTTTTGGTCACAGGTCCAGGAATGGCAGAAGAATTGCAACATTTACCTGGAGCTAACGCTGGAGATGGCACTACTGGGTGATTTGAAAAGTCATAGTCAATCGATCAATAATATAAGAATACTTTTAGCAAAACATTTTATCTTTAATTTACAATCTGTAGAAACATGGCAAAATGGAAATCCAATATGGATGGTGTTAAGAGATAGATGGGAGGAGCTGAAGGGTGGGACTAATAACAACAAGATAAATGTCCGTAAAATGTATATAGGTTCAGAACTTTTGTGAAACAGCACAGTTAAAGAATATATAGAAATCAAACTGGATGGACATCAGAAATAGATGGGAGAGGTTGAGGGAAGAGGAAGGACAGCACTAAAAACAAACAAATAGAACTATTGTAAAATAGAATGTGTCCTTAAAATGTATATAGTATGTACAGTGAGGGGAAAAAAGTATTTGATCCCATGCTGATTTTGTACGTTTGTCCACTGACAAAGACACGATCAGTCTATAATTTTAATGGTAGGTTTATTTGAACAGTGAGAGACAGAATAACAACCAAAAAATCCAGAAAAACGCATGTCAAAAATGTTCTAAATTGATATGCATTTTAATGAGGGAAATAAATATTTGACCCCCTCTCAATCAGAAAGATTTCTGGCTCCCAGGTGTCTTTTATACAGGTAACGAGCTGAGATTAGGAGCTTCTTCTTGAGCCACTCCTTTGTTGCCTTGGCCGTGTGTTTTGGGTCATTGTCAAGCTGGAATACCCATCCACAACCCATTTTCAATGCCCTGGCTGAGGGAAGGAGGTTCTCACCCAAGATTTGACGGTACATGGCCCCGTCCATTGTCCCTTTGATGCGGTGAAGTTGTCCTGTCCCCTTAGCAGAAAAACACCCCCAAAGCATAATGTTTCCACCTCTATGTTTGACAGTGGGGATGGTGTTCTTGGTGTCATAGGCAGCATTCCTCCTCCTCCAAACACGGCGAATTGAGTTGATGCCAAAGAGCTCGATTTTGGTCTCATCTGACCACAACACTTTCACCCAGTTCTCCTCTGAATCATTCAGATGTTCATTGGCAAACTTCAGACGGGCCTGTATATGTGCTTTCTTGAGCAGGGGGACCTTGCGGGCGCTGCAGGATTTCAGTCCTTCACGGCGTAGTGTGTTACCAATTGTTTTCTTGGTGACTATGGTCACAGCTGCCTTGAGATCATTGACAAGATCCTCCCGTGTAGTTCTGGGCTGAATCCTCACCGTTCTCATGACCATTGCAACTCCACGAGGTGAGATCTTGCCCCAGGCCGAGGGAGATTGACAGTTATTTTGTGTTTCTTCCATTTGCGAATAATCGCACCAGCTGTTGTCACCTTCTCACCAAGCTGCTTGGCGATGGTCTTGTAGCCCATTCCAGCCTTGTGTAGGTCTACAATCTTGTTCCTGACATCCTTGGAGCACTGTTTGGTCTTGGCCATGGTGGAGAGTTTGGAATCTGATTGATTGATTGCTTCTGTGGATAGGTGTCTTTTATACAGGTAGCAAGCTGAGATTAGGAGCACTCCCTTTAAGAGTGTGCTCCTAATCTCAGCTCGTTACCTGTATAAAAGACACCTGGGAGCAAGAAATCTTTCTGATTGAGAGGGGGTAAAATATTTATTTCCCTCATTAAAATGCAAATCAATTTAGAACATTTTTGACATGTGTTTTTCTGGATTTTTTTGGTTGTTATTCTGTCTCTCACTGCTCAAATAAACCTACCATTTAAAATTATAGACTGATCATTTCTTTGTCAGTGGGCAAACGTACAAAATCAGCAGGGGATCAAATACTTTTTTCCCTCACTGTATAAGCTGGAAGTAGAAGCCTAAGTGATGGTGTTCATTAGTTTACTCCAGTTAGGGGAGGGGTGGTAGGGTTAGCGGAAAATAATAATGGAAATATATTTTTACAAGGTGTGTGGAAAATTATATATATATTTACACACACACACACACAGTACCAGTCAAAAGTTTGTACACAACTACTCATTCAAGGGTTTTTCTTTATTTTTACTATTTTCTACGTTGTAGAATAATAGTGAAGACATCAAAACTATGAAATAGCACATATGGAATGATGTAGTAACCAAAAAAGTGTTAAACAAATCAAAATATATTTGAGATTCTTCAAATAGCCACCCTTTGCACACTCTTGGCATTTTCTCAACCAGCTTCACCTGGAATGCTTTGCCAACAGTCTTGAAGGAGTTCCCGCATATGCTGAGCACTTGTTGGCTGCTTTTCCTTCACTCTGCCGTCCGACTCATCCCAAACCATCTCAATTGGGTTGAGGTCGGGGGATTGTGGAGGCCAGGTCATCTGATGCAGCACTCCATCACTCTCCTTCTTGGTAAAATAGCCCTTACACAGCCTGGAGGTGTGTTTTGGGTCATTGTCCTGTTGAAAAACAAATTACAGTCCCACTAAACCCAAATGAGATGGGATGGCGTATCGCTGTAGAATGCTGTGGTAGCCATGCTGGTTAAGTGTGCCTTGAATTCAAAATAAATCACAGACAGTGTCACCAGCAAAGCACCCCCACACCATAACACCACCTCCTCCATGCTTTACGGTGGGAACTGCACATGCGGAGATCATCCGCTCACCCACACCGCGTCTCACAAAGACACGGCGGTTGGAACCAAAAATCTCAAATTTGGACTGCAGACCAAAGGACAAATTTCCACCGATCTAATGTCCATTGCTCGTGTTTCTTGGCCCAAGCAGGTCTCTTCTTCTTATTGGTGTCCTTTAGTAGGTTTCTTTGCTGCGATTCACACAGTCTCCTCTGAACAGTTGATGTTGAGATGTGTCTGTTACTTGAACTCTGAAGCATTTATTTGGGCTGCAATCTGAGGTGCAGTTAACTCTAATTAACTTATCCTCTGCAGCAGAGGTACCTCTGGGTCTTCCTTTCCTGTTGAGGTCCTCATGAGAGGCAGTTTCATCATTTCGCTTGATGGTTTTTGCGACTGCACTTGAAGAAACTAAAAGTTCTTGAAATGTTTCGTATTGACTGACCTTCATGTCTTAAAGTAATGATGGACTGTCGTTTCTGTTTGCTTATTTGAGCTGTTCTTGCCATAATATGGACTTGGTCTTTTACCAAATAGGGCTATCTTCTGTATACCACCCCTACCTAGTCACAACACAACCAATTGGCTCAAACACATTAAGAAGGCAAGAAATTCCACAAATTAACTTTTAACAAGGCACACCTGTTAATTGAAATGCATTCCAGGTGACTACCTCATGAAGCTGGTTGAGAGAATGCCAAGAGTGTGCAAAGCTGTCAAGGCAAAGGGTGGCTACTTTGAAGAATCTCAAATATAAAATGTTTTAATTTGTTTAACACTTTTTTGGTTACTATATGATTCCATATGTGTTATTTAATAGTTTTGATGTCTTCACTATTATTCTACAATGTAGAAAATAGTAAAAAATTAAGAAAAACCCTTGAATGAGTAGGTGTGTCCAAACCTTTGACGGGTACTGTATAATTACAAAAACATATATGGGGGATTGGAAATGATGCAGACAGTTACATTGATGGAAGCTACAATCTATCTGCAACAATAAAGCTGATCTAACCCCTACATAAAAAAGTAATAAAGCTGGTGGGACATTTAGTTGAAGTTGACTTTGGTCTACTTCAAATTAGTCTGCTACAGCCGGACATGATTGAAAACACCTGTGACTGAATTAATGTTTCATGAGTTTTCCATGTAAAAGCTTGTTGTCTAAAAGTTGGTTAATTAATACATGTATTGCATTTACCTCTAACTTGCACTGTCTTTCTAACTGCTGCTAGGGGCGGCAGGTAGCCTAGAGGTTCGAGAGGCAGGTCAGCAATTGGAGGGTTGCCGGTTTGAATCCCTAGTACAACTGGCAAATTTGGTGGGGAGTGAGCCAGTAACCGGAGGGTTGCTGGCATCCGTGTCCTAGAGGCCATCTTCTGCCGTTGTGCCCTTGCGCAATGCCCGTAACCCCTACATCTGTCCAGGGGCACTACACTGTGGCTGCCCCTGGGTTCCAATCCCTTTTATACAAGTAACAAGATGAGATTAGGAGCACTCCCTTTAAGAGTGTGCTCCTAATCTCAGCTCGTTACCTGTATAAAAGACACCTGGGAGCCAGAAATCTTTCTGATTGAGAGGGGGTCAAATACTTATTTCCCTGATTTTTAAAATGCAAATCAATTTATTACATTTTTGACATGCGTTTTTCTGGATTCTTTTGTTGTTATTCTGTCTCTCAATGTTCAAATAAACCTACCATTTAAAATTATAGATTGATCATTTCTTTTTCAGTGGGCAAACGTACAAAATCAGCAGGGGATCAAATACTTTTTTCCCTCACTGTATATATATATATTTTTTTCTTTTTTTTATTGTCCTTATTGTTATTTTTCTCCTTCTTTCTTCCTCTTCCAGGTTGTACATGGGAGTTTGCAGCAATGGTAGGTTACATCAAGCGGGCCTTCCCCCAGACACTGCTCATCGTGGTGGGCTTCAGCCTGGGGGGGAACATTGTGTGCAAGTTTCTGGGGGAGAACAGGATCAACCAGGAGAGAGTGCTGTGCTGCGTCAGTGTCTGCCAGGGATACAGCGCACTCCGGTAAGTTGCAATGGAATTCATCCATTTCACAAAATATAGCATGTTACAAATGGCACCCAATACATTGTGCCAAGTAGAACGTTGTTGAAAAATGTTGATGCTGTGATTCGGCTACATGTGAATAAATAAAGATGTAAAGCCAGGACTCCCTTGAAAAAGAGATTAATAACTCAATGGTAGTCCCTTGTTTAAATAAAGGATAAATAACTAAGCGTGTGTGTAAACGGGTGCGTGCTATGCGCGAACACGCGTGTGTCTAGATCCACGCCTGTGTGTATTTGTGGAAGGGGCAGGCAGCCAGTCTGGCCTCTCTTTGTTCATACCAATAGGTAGGCCATGGCCACCACTTTACCCCATGTAGCTTTTGTGTTTGTCAGCATCTGTTTAATCTCACTCAGAGCACTATACACACACACACACACACACACACACACACACACAAACGTGTGACTCCACCTCAGTGACTGACTGCTATTGTCTCTCATAGACCTCATTTCACCCTGTTTAGCTGTGCACTTTTAGACACCGACACTGTCATTTTTCACGTGCACTCTGCAAATAGTCTAAAGTAGGTTACTCCGGCTATAAAAACCTGCCATCACATGCCCATTACCTGTTTATACAAACCACACCCAAGTGCTACCAAAGTGCTTACACCACTAATACACTTTTCACATAGGATTTACGGTATGTTGCCTGTTAAAAAATAAAAAAATCGGCCTATGTTTATATGACCCCTGTTAAAGCAGGCCCGGCATAAGCCTTTTATACCTCCCGTGCAAATGCCGGAACAGAGTGCATGGGAGTAGGGCTGTGCAGATGTGGGTGGGCGTCTATTTTAATAAACCCATTGAATATACGCCATCACAAATACATCTGTTAATTCGTTAAGACAAAAGAATGGAATAGCATATTTTTTGTAAATTATGCTACTGGTCTATGAAGCCTAATTGGCTGCGCCATGCAAATCTAATCCATATTTTGTTATTTTGTTCATTAAATAGACAGGACACACTTACCCTGCCCTGATCACAGTCAATCCACATCTACATTACATGACCAAAAGTATGTGGACACCTGATCATTGAATATCTCATTCCAAAATCATGGGCATTAATATGGAGTTGGTCCCCCTTTGCTCCTACAACAGCCTCCACTCTTCTGGGAAGTCTTTCCACTAGATGTTGGAACATTGCTGCAGCCACAAGCATTAGTGAGGTCGGGCACAGATGTTGGGCGATTAGGCCTGGCTCGCAGTTGGCGTTCCAATTCATCCCAAAGGTGTTCGACAGGGTTGAGGTCAGGGCTCTGTGCAGGCCAGTCAAGTTCTTCCACACCGATCTCGACAACCCATTTCTGTATGGACCTCTTTAATTTATTTTTGGCACGGGGGCATTGTCATGCTGAAACAGGAAAGGGCCTTCTCCAAACTGTTGCCACAAAGTTGGAAGCACAGAATTGTCTAGAATGTCATTGGATGCTGTAGCGTTAAGATTTCATTGGAACTAGGTTACTAGGTTTACCTCAGGTAACTTATTATTAACAAGGTTACAGCTACTTGGTGAGCACGCACACTGTTCACCTGAGTACATGTTGTGGTCACCAATAGTGAGGTGAGACACAGTTTAAGAGGCGATGGCTGGCGGATAGCCATCAAACATTAAACATTTTCTGGTTATGGTTAACCATATTTGTTTTAAGAAAAAAGTGTACAATCTAAACAAAACGCATGTCCCTGTCCTCTTTTTCAAGATGTGGCCGATTTTTAAACAGCCAGAATAATTTTTTTAATTAAGAAATAACCATTTTATTGACGACTTGTTTTTTCTAAATGGCTGCTGGGTAATTTGATATGCATCAATCTTCGTTCGTAGGCATCAAATTGAGCGAATGCTGCACAGGTTCACTGAGTTGCAAACCAAATGGGTATAATGGGGTGATTGTTGTCTAATCGGGTGGTCTAGCTAATGGATTTGTAGATCTGACGCAGTTGCTACCTCAGATTATGAGCCTAGCAAGTGTCATGAAGTGTCAGGTCTCCCGAGTGGCGCAGTGGTCTAAGGCACTGCATCGCAGTGCTAGCTGGTTCGTATCCAGGCTCTGTCGTAGCCGGCCGCGACCGGAAGACACATGGGGCGGCGCACAATTGGCCCAGGGTAGGGGAGGGAATGGCCGGCAGGGATGTAGCTCAGTTGGTAGAGCATGGCGTTTGCAATGCCAGGGTTGTGGGTTCGCTTATTACAGGGGGCCAGTATAAAAAAATAAAATAATGCTCTGGATAAGAGCGTCTGCTAAATGACTAAAATGTAAATGTAACTAAGGGGCCTAGCCCGAACCATGAAAGACCGCACCAGACCATTATTCCTCCTCCACCAAACTTTACAGTTGGCACTGCATTCGGGGCATGTATCGTTCTCCTGGCATCCACCAAACCCAGATTAGACCGTCGGACTGCCAGGTGGTGAAGCGTGATCCATCACTCCAGATAACTAATTTCCCCTGCTCCAGAGTCCAATGGTGGCGAGCTTTACGCCATTCCAGCCGATGCTTGGCATTGCGCATGGTGATCTTAGGCTTGTGCAGTGCTCTAAGGCACTGCATCCCAGTGCTAGCTGTGCCACTAGAGATCCTAGTTCGAATCCAGGCTCTGTCGTAGCCGGCCGCGACCGGGAGACCCATGTGGCGGCGCACAATTGGCCCAGCGTCGTCCAGGGTAGGGGAGGGAATGACCGGCAGGGATGTAGCTCAGTTGGTAGAGCATGGCGTTTGCAACGCCAGGGTTGTGGGTTTGATTCCCACGGGGGGCCAGTATGAAAAAATTAAATAAAATGATGTATGCACTCACTAACTGTAAGTAGCTCTGGATAAGAGCGTCTGCTAAATGACTAAAATGTAAATGTTGTGCTCGGCCATGGAAACCCATTTCACTAAACTCCCGACAAACAGTTATTGTACTGACGTTGCTTCCAGAGGCAGTTTGAAACTCGGTTGTGAGTGTTGCAACCGAGGACAGACAATTTTTACGCGCTTCAGCACTCGCCAGTCCCGTTCTGTAAGCTTGTGTGGCCTACCACTTCGCGGCTGAGCCGTTGTTTCTCCTAGAGGTTTCCACTTAAATGATAATGCCTGAGAAGCCGGTGTTTGGAGGATTTATTGGCACGGGTGCTGTTTGACCCGAGACGATGTCGAGGGCCGGCAAACCGTGCCAATATGTCCTCCAAACACCGGCTTCGAGGGCATTATCACTTTTATACAACGGGTTACCAACATATTCAAATAATGATTGACATATTTCTTATTAAAAACATTATTTTGATGAATTTATTAATACTATTTCATCCTTCCACAATATATAGTCCCGACACACATCTAGGGTTGCTACCCAAACTAGCTGGTCGTTCGTTCTATCAGTTCGGTTTCCAGAGACACGACCCAGTCGTTCAGTCTCTTTGTTCTGTATCTATGGACGCGACCCAGTCATTCGTGGCTGGCAACTTTCTTGTCCCTTGCTTGCTTGCTTGCTTGCTTGCTTGCTTGCTAGCTAGCCAACTACGGCTAATTTACAGTCTCGTCAACCAGTGCAGCCAGAATAACAGCAAAGTAGCTGCATTTGCGTTTGTTTAAGCTGTTTTCTATTGACATTTATTTGGATACATCCATAACAATGAGCCAATGATGCGTCAGGACACGGTTGTTCAGAGGAGCTTGCCAGCAACACCGCTAACACAATCCCTTCAAACTGAAGCTGGAAAGACCGCAAACTAGCTGCGCTTTGTTTCGTTTTGTAACTTTTTTTTCAATTGACTTTTCTTTGTGTATATATCCATAAAAATTATGCCAGCTGATTCATGATTTTGACTGGTTGAGAAACGCTGCCTGTCTCTCGTCCCGACACGTTCATTATGGGACAGCTGGATATCGAATTTGAATATTAAAACAATGTTGCAAATGTCGGCGAGACTGACTGCAAGGTTTATACAAATCTCCGCTGTTGAAAACTAAATGTTAGTCTAAAAGATGTGAGATAATGTCTAGATGCTTTTTATAGTGGCGATCAAGTTTATAAATTGTCTGGCTGGGCTGATGAGACGGTGGATTGCGCAGTCAGATGGAACAGAGTTTTAATGTCATAGATTTAGCCGGTGGTAACTTGTGGAATAGACACCGGCTGGAATGCGCTTTTAACCAATCAGCATTCATGATTAGACCCACCCGTTGTATAATTCACAATAACAGCACTTACAGTTGACCGGGGCTGCTCTAGCAGGTCAGAAATTTGACGAACTGACTGAAAGGTGGCGTCCTACGACGGTGCCATGTTGAAACTCACTGAACTCTTCAGTAAGGCCATTCTACTGCCAATGTTTGTCTATGAAGATTGCATGTCTGTGTGCTCAATTTTATACACTTGTCAGCAACGGGTGTGGCTGAAATAGCCACTAATTTGAAGGGGTGTCCATATACTTTTGTGTGTGTAAACATAGTGTATGTGTATAGGGGTAAGGTGACTAGGCATCAGGATATAAGATAAACAGAGTAGCACCAGCTTGTGTGTGTGTGTGTGTGTGTGAAGAGTCAGTATAAATGTATTCACATTTTACGTGTGAGTGAGCAGATGATGGAGTGAGTGTGTAGGGCCCTGTGAGTGTGTATGGAGGCAGTGCATAAACAAAAGGTTCAACGAGGATACAAGGTTAATAGTCCATGTAACTATTTAATCAGTCGTATTGCTTGGGGATAGAAGCTGTTCAAGAGCCTGTTGGTGCCAGACTTGATGCAGGCTGTAACACAACAAATGTGCAATAAGTCGAGGGGTATGAATACTTTTTGAAGGCACTGTAGAAATACATGCACAATAACAGAACCACTCATTGTGTGTCATTGACTTGGTGCCGTTATTGACTGTCTGTGTGTGTGTTAATCCAGGGCCCAGGAGACGTTCCTACAGTGGGACCAGTGTCGGAGGCTCTATAACTTCCTCATGGCAGACAACATGAAGAAGATCATCCTCTCCCACCGGTACATAAAACTGCTAAAACACACATCTTAGTAGTTAGTACACATATCACTACTGTCATAAGTCCCTATGCAATGTTCAGTCTTTAAAATCAGACCTAGACAGAAATCCTAAATAAATTGGCCTAATAGTTCATGTACTAGCTACATGCTTAAAGCCAGACTAATTTACGTAATTTGTGATTATGAAATATCGAACTGTCTGGACGACAAAACAAACCCAGGCAAGACATCATGTAAACAAACCCAGGCAAGACATCATGTAAACAAACCCAGGCAAGACATCATGTAAACAAACCCAGGCAAGACATCATGTAAACAAACCCAGGCAAGACATCATGTAAACAAACCCAGGCAAGACATAATGTAAACAAACCCAGGCAAGACATCATGTAAACAAACCCAGGCAAGACATGTAAACAAACCCAGGCAAGACATCACGTAAACAAACCCAGGCAAGACATCATGTAAACAAACCCAGGCAAGACATCATGTAAACAAACCCAGGCAAGACATCATGTAAACAAACCCAGGCAAGACATCACGTAAACAAACCCAGGCAAAACGTCATAATATGAGAGTTCTCAAGCGGCCCGGGGACGGTCATGTAATTTATAATAGATGAATTGTCATATTGCTCAGAGTTTGAGAATTAGTTGCTTATTATAATATCTCGATGTGTGCTCGATGCTGCCCTTCATCCCTGATTCTCTGCTGGGCGTGCAATATAAAGTGCGACCTTGTGTGGTTTCAATAAAATTATCCATAGCCTATACTATAGGCCTAGGCTATAGGAAGAGCATGCTCTGAGAAGCACAGGGCAAAGTTATATTTCTTAGAAAATGTACTTCCTTCCCGAGTTTTGGCGCTGCTGGGATGGTGTATATAAAACTAGGCTACACTGCATTACACACTGCACTGGATAGGCGTTCCCAATCATAAGCCCCGGCCTGCCCTGCTCTTGCTGATGTAAACCTTTTTGTGCTGTCTAACCAATGACTGTGCTGTGTACGGTGGCACTTCAGGAGGCGAGTCAAAGGCTTCTTCCGAAAATACGTTTTAACTTATATCTATATCTGTGTGTGCTGACTAGGCCTACTGATGTCCTGGGCCCGGTTTCCCAAAAGCATCTTAAGGCTAAGTTCATCATTAGAACCTTCGTAGGAAGCATCATTAAAACTCAGAGCTGTTTCCCAAAACCATTGTTATTAACGTTGCACTTGAAAACGCTCGTAATCTAAAGCCTGCCTCAGACCAGCTAAGTGTGTCGTTGGATGCTTTTTTTGCCCTCCCGCGTCACTTTAATACACCGCTAAACATAGAATCGCCGTGACCACCGATGACTTCACAACAAAGTTGAGTACAAATGTCTTTTCAATTGTTACAAACAAGTGAAGGATAAAAATATTATTCAAAAGAAAACCGAGATGACTGCATTCAAAGATAAATAGCCTACCTACAGTATAGGCCTATGTGTACAAAACATTAGGGACACCTTCTTAATATTGAGTTGCACCCCCTTTTGCCCTCAGAACAACCTCAATTCGTCGGGGCAAGGTGTCGACCGCATTCCACAGGGATGCTGGCCCATGTTGACGCAATGCTTCCCACAGTTATGTCAAGTTGGCTGGATGTCTTTTGGGTGGTGGACCATTCTTGATACACACGAAACTGTTGAGCATGAAAAACCCAGCAGCGTTGCAGTTCTTGACACACTCAAACCGGTGCGCCTGGCACCTACTACCATACCCCATTCAAAGGCAGTTAAATATTTTGTCTTGCCCATTCACCCTCTGAATGGCACACATACATAATCCATGTCTCGATTGCCTCAAGGCTTAAAAATCCTTCTTTAACCTGTCCTCTACATTGATTTGAAGTAGATTTAACAAGTGACGTCAATAAGGGATCATAGGATTCACCTGGTCAGTCTGTAATGGAAAGAGCAGGTGTTCCTAATGTTTTGTACACTCAGTGTATGTCAATGATTGACATTTCATGTTAATTCAATTGAGTTTTATTTGGGTACTGTCAAACATTTTGACTCAATATATTTCATGATGTGTATCCTAACGTGCGCAATGATGTACCAAATCTTGATAAATAATCTTGCATTATTATAGGGTAAGCATTCGAATAAGCTGACTCTCAATATTTGCAGGCATAGGTGATATCTCTCTAGGACCTAATGTTAAGGTAAGATTTGAATGGAAAAGCTGACCCGAGAGCAGCGCTGCCTTTCTGTCGATTCGATCAGTATCGACACATGCCTCAACGACACACTTGGCGAACGTTCTCTCTGTGTGTTGTTTTGGGAAACATCTTTGGCCGTTGTAGGAAAGATGCATCGTTAAAACACTCGTAAGCCTAAGTTCCATCGCTATCGGGAAACCGGGCCCTGTTCAGTTTGAGAGGGAGAGCACGAAGATGAGAAGGAGGACAGGAGGTAAGCTTGCTGCTGCTATAATTGATTTTCGAGTAATTTATATAACTTATATTACTATGAAGCGGCAGTCGCAGAGATGGACAGCGCATGGGTGCTGAAAGTAGGCTAATTCGAAAAGGCCTAATTAATTAAAATTTTTAGTCATTTAGCAGACACTCTTATCCAGAGTCTTAGAGTCGTGAGTGCATACCATTATTTTTTTGTCATTTTAATTTGACTTTGTGTTGGAGCCTATTTATTCCTATTCAATAAGTAAGAGGTAGGCCTCTGTTTGACAGATTAAATTACTATCCATAGATTTTGTCAGCCAATTCCTTAAGTCACCATGCACTCCTTAAATATCTGTGTCAGAGAAGAACTTGGTGTGTTACGTTAAAACCAGGGCTCAAATTGAGGGGGTATGTGAGGGTATTGTGGCTTTTGTTAAAGAAAATGGCTAAACGCATAGGTCTACCCCTTTTGTTAGCTTAACATAAAAAAATGTAATAAAAAAATTAAAGGACCCGATTTTATATAAAGCGATCTATAATGATAAAGCATCGTTATACATCGCTTTATATAATCGGGTCAGTTTTTTTTTTTTTTTTTTTTTTCGTATATAGCTTTATGCTACAAACAAGCTGTAAAATGCTGGGAAAGAAGTGACTCCGATGCATATGGGATGTACATCTTTGGTTTGTCTCTGACATTCGGAGGCTGCACTACAACCTTCTATAGCCGAGGAGACAAAACATTTACTTTGCTTGGAAAGTAATGTGTGATTCTGTCACTATCAATTGACGTTCGACATTTCAACAGGCTATTAAACAACATACCAAATCCGTCAGAAGCAAGCCAGGTAGCCTATGAATTATTTAGGCTATATTTTATTATTATTATTATTATTATTATTATTATTTAAATGCTATAGCCTGCCGTTTTTAAGAAATCAATTGTGAAGCATTTGTGACATGCTACAGGCTGGCAGGAGTGATCAGTAGTTCAACAACACATCAATAGCACTTCAACAACATGCCTATAAATTTAGCATTTTGACTGTATGAATTGAAAAAAAAAATATATATATATATATATATATATATATATATATATATACACACACAGTACCAGTCAAAAGTTTGGACACCTACTCATTCAAGGGTTTTTCTTTATTTTTTAAAATGTTTTACATTGTAGAATAATAGTGAAGACATCAAAACTATGAAATAACACATGGAATCATGTACTAACCAAAAGTGTTAAACAAATCAAAATATATTTTATATTTGAGATTCTTCAAATAGCCACCCTGTGCCTTGACAGCTTTGCACACGCTTGGCATTCTCTCAACCAGCTTCATGAGGTAGTCACCTGGAATGCATTTCAAATAACAGGTGTGCCTTCTTAAAAGTTAATTTGTGGAATTAATTTCCTCCTAAATGCGTTTGAGCCAAACAGTTGTATTGTGACAAGGTAGGGGGGTATACAGAAGATAGCCCTATTTGGTAAAAGACCAAGTCCATATTATGGCAAGAACAGCTCAAATAAGCAAAGAGAAACGACAGGCCATCATTACTTTAAGACATGAAGGTCAGTCAATACTGTAAATTTCAAGAACTTTGAAAGTTTCTTCAAGTGCAGTCGCAAAAACCATCAAGCGCTGTGATGGAACTGGCTCTCATGAGGACCGCCACAGGAATGGAAGACCCAGAGTTACCTCTGCTGCAGAGGATAAGTTCATTAGAGTTACCAGCTTCAGAAATTGCAGCCCAAATAAATGCTTCAGAGTTCAAGTAACAGACACATCAACATCAACTGTTCAGAGGAGACTGTGTGAATCAGGCCTTCATGGTCGAATTGCTGCAAAGAAACCACCACTAAAGGACACCAATATTAAGAAGAGACTTGCTTGGGCCAAGAAACACGAGCAATGGACATTAGACCAGTGGAAATGTGTCCTTTTGGTCTGGAGTCCAAATTTGAGATTTTTGTTTCCAACCGCCGTGTCTTTGTGAGACGCGGTGTGGGTGAATGGATGATCTCCGCATTGTGTATTTCCCACTGTAAAGCATGGAGGAGTAGGTGTTATGGTGTGGGGGTGCTTTGCTGGTGACACTGTCTGTGATTTATTTTGAATTCAAGGCACACTTAACAAGCATGGCTACCACAGCATTCTGCAGCGATACGCCATCCCATCTGGTTTGGGCTTAGTGGGACTATCATTTGTTTTTCAACAGGACAATAACCCAACACACCTCCAGGTTGTGTAAGGGCTATTTTTACCAAGAAGGAGAATGATGGAGTGCTGCATCAGATGACCTGGCCTCCACAATCCCCCGACCTCAACCCAATTTGAGATGGTTTGGGATGACGGCAGAGTGAAGGAAAAGCAGCCAACAAGTGCTCAGCATATGTGGGAACTCCTTCAAGACTGTTGGCAAAGCATTCCAGGTGAAGCTGGTTGAGAGAATGCCAAGAGTATGCAAAGCTGTCATCAAGGCAAAGGGTGGCTATTTGAAGAATCTCAAATGTAAAATATTTTTGGGTTACTACATGATTCCATATGTGTTATTTCATAGTTTTGATGTCTTCACTATTATTCTACAATGTAGAAAATAGTTTAAAAAACTTTTTAAAAAACTTAAATGAGTAGGTGTGTCCAAACTTTTGACTGGTACTGTATATATTAAACCACAACAAAAAAAGTGACATTTTATTTGGGACTTAGAGTCTGGCTTTAATGTACCTTGTCTGTTAAGAACACCCCTTACAAAAAAAGATTGCAGTTTTGAAACTGCAGTAAAAGTGCAGTAACTGCAGTCGACAGGTATTTTGGACATAGTAATAGCAGAATAACTACAATTGAACTGCAGTTATACTGCACTGTAACTGCAGTCGCACTGCGAAATTACTGCAGTAAAAAAACATTATTTGGACCCAGTATTTTCAGTATACTGCACTCTGACTGCAATCTTTTTACTAAGGGACACTTCTGATACTTGTGTTGAGGTGGTTATTTTTGTGCATTTAATTTATTTACGTCATACACCGTACGTTCTGGTGACAGGGGCAGTTTTTGGAATGACTGAGCAAGGGGCAGTTAAGTCCTTGAGGAATAACTCGACTTTTTTCTTAAGCAGGGGACACGTCTAGCACTGCAGGATTTGAGTCCCTGGCGGTGTGTAGTGTGTACTGATGGTAGGCTTTGTTACTTGGTCCCAGCTCTTGCGGTCATTCACTAGGTCCCCCCGTGTGGTTCTGGGATTTTTGCTCACCGTTCTTGTGATCATTTTGACCCCACGGGGTGAGATCTTGCGTGGCGCCCCAGATCGAGGGAGATTATCAGTGGTCTTGTATGTCTTCCATTTCCTAATAATTGCTCCCACAGTTGATTTCTTCAAACCAAGCTGCTTACCTATTGCAGATTCAGTCTTCCCAGCCTGGTGCAGGTCTACAATTTTGTTTCTGGTGTCCTTTGACAGCTCTTTGGTCTTGGCCATAGTGGAGTTTGGAGTGTGACTGTTTGAGGTTGTGGACAGGTGTCTTTTATACTGATAACAAGTTCAAACAGGTGCCATTAATACAGGTAACGAGTGGAGGACAGAGGAGCCTCTTAAAGAAGAAGTTACAGGTCTGTGAGCCAGAAATCTTGCTTGTTTGTAGGTGACCAAATACTTATTTTCCACCATAATTTGCAAATAAATTCATTAAAAATCCTGCAATGTGATTTTCAGGAAAAAAAATTCTCAATTTGTCTGTCATAGTTGATGTGTACCTATGATGAAAATTACAGGCCTCTCTCATCTTTTTAATTTGGAGAACTTGCACAATTGGTGGCTGACTAAATACTTTTTTTCCCCACTGTGTATATATATATATATATATATATACATATACATACAGTACCAGTCAAACGTTTGGACACCTACTCATTCAAAGGTTTTTCTTAATTTTTTACATTGTAGAATAATAGTGAAGACATCAAAACTATGAAATAACACATGGAATCATGTACTAACCAAAAAAGTGTTAAACAAATCAAAATATATTTTATATTTGAGATTCTTCAAATAGCCACCCTGTGCCTTGATGACAGCTTTGCACACGCTTGGCATTCTCTCAACCAGCTTCATGAGGTAGTCACCTGGAATGCATTTCAATTAACAGGTGTGCCTTGTTAAAAGTTAATTTGTGGAATTAATTTCCTCCTAAATGCGTTTGAGCCAAACAGTTGTATTGTGACAAGGTAGGGGGGTATACAGAAGATAGCCCTATTTGGTAAAAGACCAAGTCCATATTATGGCAAGAACAGCTCAAATAAGCAAAGAGAAATGACAGTCCATCATTACTTTAAGACATGAAGGTCAGTCAATACTGAATATTTCAAGAACTTTGAACGTTTCTTCAAGTGCAGTCGCAAAAACCATCAAGCGCTGTGATGGAACTGGCTCTCATGAGGACCGCCACAGGAATGGAAGACCCAGAGTTACCTCTGCTGCAGAGGATAAGTTCATTAGAGTTAACTGCACCTCAGATTGCAGCCCAAATAAATGCTTCAGAGTTCAAGTAACAGACACATCTCAACATCAACTGTTCAGAGGAGACTGTGTGAATCGCAGCACCCCCACACCATAACACCTCCTCCTCCATGCTTTACGGTGGGAACTGCACATGCGGAGATCATCCGCTCACCCACACCGCGTCTCACAAAGACACGGCGGTTGGAACCAAAAATCTCAAATTTGGACTGCAGACCAATGGACACATTTCCACCGATCTAATGTCCATTGCTCGTGTTTCTTGGCCCAAGCAGGTCTCTTCTTCTTATTGGTGTCCTTTAGTAGGTTTCTTTGCTGCGATTCACACAGTCTCCTCTGAACAGTTGATGTTGAGATGTGTCTGTTACTTGAACTCTGAAGCATTTATTTGGGCTGCAATCTGAGGTGCAGTTAACTCTAATGAACTTATCCTCTGCAGCAGAGGTACCTCTGGGTCTTCCTTTCCTGTTGAGGTCCTCATGAGAGGCAGTTTCATCATAGCGCTTGATGGTTTTTGCGACTGCACTTGAAGAAACTAAAAGTTCTTGAAATGTTTCGTATTGACTGACCTTCATGTCTTGAAGTAATGATGGACTGTCGTTTCTGTTTGCTTATTTGAGCTGTTCTTGCCATAATATGGACTTGGTCTTTTACCAAATAGGTCTATCTTCTGTATACCACCCCTACCTAGTCACAACACAACCAATTGGCTCAAACGCATTAAGAAGGCAAGAAATTCCACAAATTAACTTTTAACAAGGCACACCTGTTAATTGAAATGCATTCCAGGTGACTACCTCATGAAGCTGGTTGAGAGAATGCCAAGAGTGTGCAAAGCTGTCAAGGCAAAGGGTGGCTACTTTGAAGAATCTCAAATATAAAATGTTTTAATTTGTTTAACACTTTTTTGGTTACTATATGATTCCATATGTGTTATTTCATAGTTTTGATGTCTTCACTATTATTCTACAATGTAGAAAATAGTTTTAAAAAATAAGAAAAACCCTTAAATGAGTAGGTGTGTCCAAACTTTTGACTGGTACTGTATATATTAAACCACAACAAAAAAGTGCCATTTTATTTGGGACTTAGAGTCTGGCTTTAATGTACCTTGTCTGTTAAGAACACCCCTTACAAAAAAAGATTGCAGTTTTGAAACTGCAGTAAAAGTGCAGTAACTGCAGTCGACAGGTATTTTGGACATAGTAATAGCAGAATAACTAAAATTGAACTGCAGTTATACTGCACTGTAACTGCAGTCGCACTGCGAAAATTACTGCAGTAAAAAAACATTATTTGGACCCAGTATTTTCAGCATACTGCACTCTGACTGCAATCTTTTTTCCTAACGGACACTTCTGATACTTGTGTTGAGGTGGTTATTTTTTGTGCATTGAATTTATTTTACGTCATACCACCTGTACACTGTTTTCTGGTTGACAGGGGCAGTTTGTTTGGAATGAACTCGAGCAAGATGGACGACGCAGACCTAAGCCGACTGTACACAGCTACCTCTCTAATGCAGATCGATGACAATATCATGAGGTAACGGCAGGCTATCTCAGACTGTGGTGGCCATTTTGAAGTGATCTTGTCCTTGTAATTGTTGCCTGATGTGTTTTTTTGTTAATGCATTTCACAGAAAGTTCCATGGTCACGACACGCTGAAAGAGTACTACGAGAAGGAAAGCTGCGTACACTACATTCACAATGTGAGTGAACACGGACCAGGCCGGTGTCTCCCAAAACCTTCATAGCTGAAGTAGTACATTATTGTTCTTGACGACCCAGACTCAAGTCTCCTGTAGAAACACGAAGTGCTTCATTGAACGAATTTTGCTCGGCAAGGCTAAGAAGATTGACGTCAGATATTGATTTTATAATTGTTACACTATTGTGATTGTCGGGCTGGGTTGTGGAGATTTATTTTTACTACCTTAGCTACTAAGGATTTGAGAAACCTAGCCCAAAGTGATTACAAAGTGGTTTTCAAACTTTGATGAATGACTATGACAATCCTATTTCAGGTCAATGTGCCTCTTCTGTTGGTCAACTCCTCAGATGACCCTCTGGTCCATCAGTCACTTCTGACCATCCCACGCACACTCGCAGGTATTAGCTCTATTCATTAAGAGTTGTAACTAATTGAGTAATCATCACAATTATTGATTCATTAATACCAAGTATTTATTAATAGTGCTTGATGGCAGTTTTAGTAGCCGGTAAAGGATATCTTCCAAAAATCGATGGGAGTAAATGGGGCATGCTCACCAAGCTCACAATTTATGGCCAAATCACCTCAGAAACGTGTACTGAGCATTCTTATTTGATTACATTTAGTTTAATGCAAAATCTTGATACACTCGTCATTGTGACGATGTGTGATGTCATTAGTAGTAGCACAATTAATTATTCAACCAACTCCAGGGTCACATCAACTTAGCCACTTCTTCCTTTCTCTGCTGGGGACACTATCTTTAAGTGTTGACCGCTAAGTGTTGATATATCCTTCTCTTAGCTCTCTTTCGGCAGCATCTCCCTACCCAGACAGTCTTGTTGAATTTTTCAGGGCCACCCCCCCCATGCTGTGTGGTATTATTGATAGGGTATGTGTGTGTGTGTGTTGTCAGTGTTTGTGTGTGCACTTTTGTGTGTGTGTGCGCCATGTGTCGCCCGCATTTAAAGTATTTTTCTACCTCAGTGACCCTTTTTAGTGTGTAAATCAATAGCCACAGGGCTTGTAGGAGAAAGGTGCTGGTGTCTACTGCCCCTGAGACCAGGACTGCCCAACCCTGTTCCTGGAGGGCTACCGTCCTGTAGGTTTTCACTCCAACCCTGTTCCTGGAGGGCTACCGTCCTGTAGGTTTTCACTCCAACCCTGTTCCTGGAGGGCTACCGTCCTGTAGGTTTTCACTCCAACCCTGTTCCTGGAGGGCTACCGTCCTGTAGGTTTTCACTCCAACCCTAATCTAGCGCATCTGATTCTAATAATTATCTGGTTGATAAGGTCCTCTGTAGCTCAGCTGGTAGAGCATGGCGCTTGTAACGCCAAGGTAGTGGGTGCGATCCCCGGGACCACCCATACACAAAAATGTATGCACGCATGATTGTAAGTCGCTTTGGATAAAAGCGTCTGCTAAATGGCTTATTATTATTATTATTATTATTATTATTATTATTATTATTATTATTATAAGCTGAATCAGGCTAGTTACAACTGGGGTTGAATTGAAAACCTACAGGAGGGGTAGCACTCCAGGAGCAGGGTTGGAGAGCCCTGCCTTAGACCCTTGTAACTCTATGCCTGGCCTGCATATTCCATAGGGGACTGTGTTGTGGCGGCGTTCTATAGGGGATATAGGCTATCCTCATCCTCGCCACCAAAGGCTACTAGAGTGCAAACAAACTATTGTATGGGACAACTGCGTAGACACCAATATGGAAGTAGACTCATGTACAGTCTGTAGGCGCACACAAACATGAGTAAGGGTGAGAGTGTCATGCTCTCTAATAAAGGTAGATGGGTTCAGTCAGTCGGTGTTACTCCGGTTCGCCTTAACGGCCAGCACTTAACCCCATTAGCGCTGTCTGTCTGTATCTGGAGGTCACAGTCAGGAAGCCAGCCAGCGAGCATCAGTCTGCCTGGGCTCTTTCAGCAGCCAGTGCTGGCACCAGCTGTCTCTGCTGTGTGCCTCTCTGCTCCCTCTCAGCACTGATGAGCTGCCTTTAACTGGCCTGTGTGTTTGTGTGCGTGTGCTTCCTCCAAATGGAGCGCTAATCACAGGTCAGCTGCCACCACCTCACCACTATCCTTATTTACTTTACATAGAGACAGACGCTGATCTAGGATCAGTTCTTTTTGTTTTTAAGTCCTAATGAATAAGATGATATGGACAGGGGGGACCTGACCCTAGATCAGCACTCCTACTCTGAGATGCTTTGTAAATACAGGCCCATGCCGGTCAGTGGGATACCTGGTCAGGGCAGGCCTGTGGCTGTGTTATTTACTGACTGTTGTATTATTTACTCTGGTCACTAGTGTTTCTGTAATGGTGCCGCCTGGGCCGGCGTGAAAGACTGGGTTGCGGTTAGAATAGAAAAGCAGTGTGCTCCACGTTTTGTAGTCTATATAGACTTCTGTCCCATACACGTTTGATTTGCATCTGAGCCTCTCTTGCGTTCAGTTTGCAATGACTAAATGTTACGAGAGGGAAAGGGAGTGCTACATAGAAAGAGTGAGAACGTGAGAGAAATAAAGAGCGTGAGGGCTGAGAGTGTTGGGTGGCAGAAATGGAAAAGGAGACTAGGCCTAGGAGTCTGGCTCTGCCAGAAAGAGCTACCTGCGAGCTAGCACAAAAATAAACAAATGAATTGTCAGTACATTGGCAATATCTAATTCATTACCTCATCAATTTGCACAGTTATATCTACCATTCAAGAGGTGTTCTGCATCATGTTTACTGCATTCAAGTAAGAGTGCAATGACCTAATCTAGATGAACAATAGAGCACTAAAATGGCTTCTGTTGCCATTTAGCCCAATACATTTTGACTTAGTCTACAGCATTTTTCAGAGAAGTAAAAAGCTTTACAGCTTTTCTTACTTTCAAGGCATACATATCCAATACAACTATTGGTATACAGTATATAAAAGGATAGTTCTGCGACTTGGCATACTTTGGTGGTATCTTATCTAGTAATAGGCCAGTAGTAACAGCATCCACCAAAAGCCGTTGTTTACGTAACGACACCACCGCATGCTAACTGTTAGCATCGTTCTATCTCTCTTTCTCCACCTCCCCCAGAAAAGAAGCAGAATGTGATCTTCGCCCTGACGCTCCACGGGGGTCATCTGGGCTTCTTCGAGGGGGCTGTGCTGTTTCCCCAGCCACTCACCTGGATGGACAAGGTCATAGTGGGCTATGCCAACGCAATATGCCAGTGGGAGAGACACAGACCGCCCTGCCAGAGGACACGTCGTGGTCCCTGTCCACAGGCCAAACGTAAAGCTTAATGCTCACGTATGTTGTATGGACACACACTGCCAGGGATAAAACAGGGATGCCAGGACTGCCATGAGACCAAAGGCAAAGTTTCACACTCTATATACATTTACAGGCGTACACACATACATTTATTGTTTATTATTAATATACGCACACACAGTATCCTGCCTCAATACCTCTTCCTCTGTACTACTCCCCTAACATCCTGCCACCTGTCAATAAAGAGTCACTTTATCTGTCACTCACTCTATTTTAAAGGGACTCAAGTGTATAAGGACACAAATATGCCCACGAGAGAAGGCCGAACCCTGTATTCTTCGAAAGGGAGACAGGATGACTTATGGGCACAGTAGCTCGCCTCTGACTTGGTCGGACTATAGCTTAGATGGCCATTACTTGTGCTTAGAGAAACACAACATTCAATGACCTTAATTGAAAGCCTTACCCATGGACTATTGCTTCAGTCAGTCGAATGGATGGCACTCTCTCCTCTAAACGTGGATACACTGTGTAACCTGCACATGCTGGTGAACAGCTACAAGGGCCCCACAGTGGTTATTGGTCAGTTCTGTCCATGGAAAAGAGTGTAGAGGAGAGTAGTTTCTGTGTGCAAAGTCCCAGCCAGCACCCCTTGGTTCTCACACTTGGGTTGCTACTTGATCCTGACTCTCCTAGCTGTTTGTTCTGAGTGTGTACTGTTGTGAGCTTGAACCAGTGAGGGTGAAAAGCACTGGGGGGTTTCGAATGGGAGCTCTGTGAGGTTGAAACTCTGAAGGCTTTTGTTAAGCAGAGAAATCGAATTCCTAGAACAGACTTAATTCTATTTCTATGTTAAGCTTCTTTAACAAATCTGGTCTGGGCCCTAGTTACAGTATAGGCTAATTGGTAATACTTTCATGGTCAGGTCACATCGTCTGAGGAAAAACTGTGATAGTATATTTTGACTTCACATTGTCAAAGTGCCTCAAACTAAGACTATCTTTGATTTCAAACCAAAAAAGGATGGCAGTGGTTTTAAAGTACTTTATGACTATTCTCAGTACACATACATAATGTTCAAGGACCACACTCTGTAAATGTCTGACATTCTCGGGAAGCACCCAACCCCACCCAGAACACATTAATGAAAAGTTCCCTTGTCCAAACAATAATTATACTTACTGTATTCTTGGTGGAACAGCCTCCAAAATTCTTACTGGCTGGCTTGCACTACACTGCACTCAAATATATTGATTCTTATAGATTGTAACTTGAGTTGTGAGGATAGGAATGTTTCTGACCATTCTAAGAAGTTGATTCTTACAAGCCGAGTGCACTGTATTGACTGACTAAAGGCCTTATTCACATCCACTGTGGGGGAAGGGTCCCCTCAGCTGTCCTCAATTGAAATACCGAAACAAATGTGACTGTGTTCTTCCTTATTCCTACAAAGTAGGTTGAGCTTTACCGTATGTAAGTTTAGGTGCAAAGTCTGACAGCAATCTTTGTTTTTTTTTGTCCTTATTTTCACATTTTCCATTTATTTATATTTGATCTCTTTTAAGAGATATTTGTCAGAAACTGTTCTGTTGTGTTCAAAAAATCATTATTGTTTCTGTAAAAAATGCATATGGTGTGGTTCCTGAGATGTAGAGCACAGACTAAGAGCTCACAACTAAATTGGCTTAAATACTCTGGTGGAGATTCAGTCAAAGGTGCATTGTAGAGAAATGCACTTCACTTTTAAAGGTAATTTGCACTTGAGCTGACATCTAAATGTGATCTGGGAATTTGGGGTTATGTTGATCAGTGCAGTGCGTTTGTCGACAATGCGCCTTTGATTGAATCCCGGGCCTCTGTCTTTTTATCTGCGCTTGTCTGTATTCTGCTAAGTTACTGTGTTTATTATTGGGTAGATGAGAGAAGAGTTGCGGGACTGAGAGCCTTACTGAGAGAACTAAGGTCATAACATAACTTTCACTATCTTTCCCTATGGAATTCATCCTTTGTTTGCCTTATTTATTTGTTTTGTTTACAACCCCTATAGATGTACAATGATGTTCAGTCATTATAATGTAGAATCACAACTTGGCGTGACGTATAAAGTAATCATGTGTGTTTTTGGTTCCGATAGATAAGGGTGTGCAAAATGCAATACGTTTATGAAAAACTGTTTGGACTTGTATCCTTGAAATAAATACATTATTTTGTTGTAGATTTGTCTGCATTTATTTTGTATTCCTATTATGTTTGTGTGCAAAGATCCTACAAATCAAGGTGAACAGATTGTCATCTTTCTTTTATATACAGTTTATTGTACACGGTGGTGACATGCTCATGCCTCTGCACCAATTCAGAGGATAAAAACTGCTAATTCATCTCCAAGCGTGGTCAAAAACAAACCGAGATGGGCATTTGTTGGATTCATGGCCTTGTATCACCGTGAGGGGAAAGGGGAGGTGGATAGAGCAATCTGGGACCTGCCAGGTTTAACTAGCACTAGCTGTGTGGGTCAGAGATGGGTTACACAAAGCACGTCCCCACAGCACAGAGAAAAGCTCAATGGTTAGGGCTGTTAAGTAACCCGGGTAAGAGCGAAGGATATATATAGTCTCCTCTGTGCTGTTGGGAGTGCTTTGTTGGGTGTCTAATACTTAATAACCGCTGGAAAACAAAAACCATGCAATACCACACCCCTTTTTTTTTTTTTTACAGTTTTCTAAAGCCACACCTATGTTTATATAGTGTATTTCTCCAGAGTCTGTGGGGTGGGGTCTCCATCTAGATGGAGAGGTGGCAGATGGGGCGAGGGGGTGTTCAGTCGAACAGCTTGGCTGCTATGGCTTTGCCGTCGTACTTGGAGTTCTTGCCCTCGAACTCGGAGGGCAGGATGTCCGCATCAAACTCCTTGTAGTAGTTGTCCAGCTCGTCTCCGTGGACAAACACCTGATTTGGTAGACAGACAAACCTATGAACTAAACATTTCTCACCATATACACTCAGTGGCCAGTTTATTAGGTGCACCCATCTAGTACCCATCTAGTACCCTGAATTCTTCGGGGCATGGAGACGTTGCTTAATTGGTTTCAAGGGACCTAATGTGTGCCAACATTCCCCACACCACCGCCACCAGCCTGTACCGTTGACACCAGGCAGGATGGGGCCATGGACTCATGCTGATTACGCCAAATCCTGACTCTGCCATAAGCATGACTCAACAGGAACTGGGATTCGTCGGACCAGGCGCCGTTTTTCCGCTCTTCAATTGTCCAGTGTTGGTGATCGTGTGCCCACTGGAGCCGCTTCTTCTTGTTTTTAGCTGATCGTAGTGGAACCTGGTGTGGTCGTCTGCTGCAACAGCCCAGTTTGTGGCCCACCTGTTAGCTCGCACGATTATTGCCATTTTCCTTCGACCTCTCATCAACGAGCTGTTTTCACCCACAGGACTGCCACTGATGTTTTTTATTTGTCGTACCATTCTCGGTAAACCCTAGACACTGTCGTGTGTTAAACACCCAGGAGGCCAGGATTTTCTGAGATACTGGAACCTGTCACTGATGATAATACCACGCTCAAAGTCGCTTAGGTCACTCGTTTTGCCCAACGTTCAATCGAACAGTAACTGGATGCCTGTCTGCCTGCTTTATATAGCAAGCCACGGCCACGTGACTCACTGTCTGTAGGAGCAAACCATTTTCATGAACAGGGTGGTGTACCTAATAAACTGGCAACTGAGTGTATTTTTCGTTATTGTATTAATGTATTTACTGTTAACTATATATTACACGTTGATAAAGAACCCATTCACCTTCATTATTTGTTGATTCATATAGTTTTATCATGTTACTTCAGACATTTTCCCCATAAAAGCCCAAGTTTTTCCCACTACTTTCCCACCAACCTCTCTCACTAAAAAGGTTTCATTCATTCTTTCATGTTCTTTCTCAGGGCCTGTTTCACTCACTCTCTCAAGCAGCTTGCCCTTCATGAGGGGCTTGACCACGTTGTAGGTGGTGGTGAAGTACCAGGGTTGGTGGATGAAGTGGACCGCCTTGAAACGGGCAGGGAAGGAGTCCTGATACACACAAGAGGAACAGAGGTCCAATTTGTTACAGATCTCACCACAACTATGTTCATAAATAAGCATCCTCATTGTACGAGTAACGGAAAGGGAAACTAGAATTGTTGAGCTATGCCATAAAGAGTTCAGCACATGTAGGTGAAACAGATGGTCTGATTTAGAGCTGGGACGATAACCGAAAATGTAAAATCAATTATTTTTGTATCCTAAGGTAATGTGCTGTTTACTATTCCTTTGGAATGTGTGTAAAAGTGACCTGCAACATGTCCACCATCTTCTTGAGCTCAGTGGGTTTGATGCCAGAGGCCTGCTGCATGGTGAAGCCCTTGAAGTTCTCAATGATGCAGAAACCGTTGATCTGAGTCTCCTCATTCTCCAGCAGGCTCTCCAGGATTACACAGTAGGCACGCAGGATCTGATGAACATATATATACACACAGTCACACACACACACACACACACACACACAGTCACATGTGCACAGACACACACACACATTTGAAGCACATACCTGTTGACACCTTTGTTGTCAACATGGCAGAGGAATGAGAAAAGGGCCAGCACTCACTTGATTATGATTGCAATAATAGGAGCTTTAGTTTTAATTTTCTTTCATAGCAACATGACTCAATAGACCACACTGGCATACGTTTCGGCCAGTGTGTGGTCTGTTAAGTAATATTACTATGAAAGAGAATTAAAACTAAGCTTCTATTATTGCAAATCATAATCAAGTGAGAGCTGGCCCTTTTTTCATTTTTAAGTGATTTATTTTTGGTTCCAATCACCCTTTTTTACCTGTCTACACACAGATTTGTATTTAATTTTAAATTTTTTTGAGTACGTTCTCCTCTAGTGAATGTGACAGAAGCCCTTGATAACCACATATCTCATGATCCAATTCAAATGATTATTATCAAGGGCTTGCCCACATGATTTCAATTATCAATAACTCCCATTTGACAACTATTACTGTATATCTATGAAAACGTTGGTTCTGTCATGTTTTTAGTGCCTTTTGGGGACCACCAATGTATCTCAAATGTAACATTGTGGGGACCCAGGTCCCCGGAAGTCACCTCGTCGAAGGTGATCTCTTCGTAGTCCCAGTTCTCGATGTTGAAGAGAAGCACGATGCGGCCATACTTGTCTCTGCTGGACAGGATGCCTGGGTAGCCGGCCTCGATGGTGCTGCGGACAGCCTCGGGGGTCAGGTTCTCGAACAGCTCTGGGTAGTCCCTCCTGAAGCGCACGTAACCTGAACGCAGACGCAGGATCATCAATATCAAATAGACTCTGGCCAAGTTAGGAGTTAAGCAGACAGGAACTTCAACAGACGCGTATGTTGTTGCTTGGTTAGGTTTAATCAAACTACATTTCATTCCAATGCCAGATTCAAAATGATCATGTGCACCATAGCGTAGCTTCCTTAGCCTGGTCCCAAATCTGTTTGTGCTCTCTTGCCAACTCCAACAGTACTTGGCAATATAGCAACATATTTGGGACCAGGCTATAGCTGCCTGTCATCGAAAGATAAAGCATTTTTAACACATCACATCAGCTTGAATGAAATAGACAGAACTTGCTCACTAAGCTTCACTGACATACAGGACAGTAGTTTGAGAGAACCCACCCTTCATTAGGTCGAAGGCTCTTGGCACGTCGTATTTCCTGGCGCGGATGAAGCGGACCAGCATGCCGTCAGGCTTCTCTCCGAAGGTTTCCAGCACCCCTTTGGCCAGGTCGTCCTCAGCCTCTGCCTTTTCCTTGATTATTCCCCTCAGCTCCTTGACTGCCAACACCCGCTTCTCGTCTGTCTCGTTCAGCTCATCCTTGGCCTGTAGGGAACCAACAAAGCATCAGTCAGTCAACCTCAGATGAGGTCTACAACCTCAGAACTGGAGAGCATCCATCTTTTTTCAGATGATAGTGCTATATGTGCATGTGGCATCAACACAGTATGATGTCATGCTTGTTCTTGGAATTTACAATGAAGTGTTCTTGTTTTTGAGACCAGAGAAGGAGTTTGTACAGGTAGTCTGGACTCCAGTTGAACTCTCAACACACATGATTTGTGGTTTTACTTGAGTTTGTGGTAGGGCTTATGATGTGAAGTGAATCTACAGTGTGAGGTTTGTGAGAGAGTGACCGCAGACCTTCTGCACGGTGTGGTCAGGCAGCTTGGCGCAGGGTCCGAACACGGGACCGTGGTCCTTGACCGTGAGGCGCTCCAGCTTGGCCCTGAGAGCCTGCTCTTCCTCCGACACCATACGGAACGTTCCACTCTGGGTAGAGAGGGTGGCTGATGACATAACCATGACTTGCCAACAAAAACACCAAAGAGCTACCTTGCGAATGAGGTTTAATCCACGACGTACGCCCATATACAATCCAAAAGGAGGCCTCTATCAATGGGCTTTAGTGTTAGCATTGGCTAATCTCCCTCACATGAGCGCAGTAAAGTCTGGTAAACCTGGGCTGAGATCTGATTAGGGGTTAATGAAAGCGATTGACAGCATCCAGCACTAATGTGCCTGAGAAATGTTGAGCTGCCATTGTCCATGGCACAGGAAGTTATGACTTGAGTCATAGAAATAGATTATATAGGTTGGCCATCCCCATTTAAAGTCAACGTTCCCTGATGGGTGGACTGTCTGGCGGCCATATTGAGTGACATTCTATTTATGCTGTTTAAGTAACCATAATGTGGGAAGTGAAGGAAGAACATAACAATAACACAATAAGATTATCTATTGTGGATTGCATCCTCCGAAGGAACATGATGCATTCTGTTTCTGCTCTTCAATGGATGAAAATTAAGCACCTGAACTGAACATTTTCTGAACATCTCAGAACTGACTCTCAGGCTTAGCATGTCTCTACATTCATCATTCCCCAGACTTGTTACTTTTGACATTGATCTGCAATACAAACACCACTGAATGGTTTGAATAATTACAGTGCAGCATCTATGCCTGTTGCATACAAAGAGAGGAGCTTAGAGGTACTTACGACGACAGCCATTTCTTTAGTTGTTTAGAGCAGCTTTGTACCCACTGGAAAATAAGAGAGATTTGATTATTCACAATTGGAGAACGGATTGTATTCCAGGAAAACATCAAAATAAACAATGAACTTATTGTGCTCCAGGTTTAAACTCCCTCCATCTTAACCCCCCTAGCATTTGTAACACTTCAGATCGTGCACCTTATTTGTCTCATTCGCGTTCTATGTTTAGGTTACTTCCATTTCAGGGTATTGTCAGGGTAAATTCCCTGAAATACAGTACATGGATTGGTCCAGCTGCCAACATTTCTAATTCTGTGTTTGAACAGTGAAGACATTTATACCAGTCCATTATCTGATTAACTACACGGTTTATGATTATCTGTGTTCTTTATATAGCAGGCTGTATCAAATAAAAACACCAGACTCGATCATAATATCACTGACACAATAGCACATTTGTTGTATGGACAGGGTCAGGTATGGGTTAGCCACTCAATTCAGAAAAGCTGTGCAAATCATCTAGTGCATTCAGATTACCAGAGCTACCATCAAAATCATCAAGAGCTACACATGCAGTCAAAGCTTCCCTCAATTTCTGATTGAGTCAGCTAGAGAGGTCTGCGACCAAAGCTCTGAAAGCAATGGACTCGGATGCAATGATAGTCAGAGCTACAGGCAGTGGATTCCCAAGTCCTACACAAGGCACAACAAGGAAGCTGAAACATTCCACCTGTCCACATATGCTCTATCAACCACAAAGTATTCAAATCTCTCCTGTTTCTCAGATTTAACCCCCAGCGTTCAACAACCAAACCAGCATACAAGGCAATGCACTGCCTTGTAAAACATGGGAGAAATATTTAATAAAATACCAATCATTTTTCACTCCTTCCTCTGAGCAAAGAAACTTCCTAATTTGGGCTCCAATCCAGCAACACTCCACTGGGTCCATCAGAACTGCCAAACCCCCAGCAGGATTTGGAATGCACCACCCCCCTGGGTGTGAGGGAGATGGGTCACAGTGGGTACCCCACACCGGAGGCTCCCAGATCGGGGAGATTGAGCCTTACCTGGGGAGGGAGGAGGCTGGGCGCTGTCGAGAGTCACAGGAGTCTGTGTGGAGCAGGACCGCCGGGCCCTATGATTTGTAGTGTCGGGATTAGTGTCGTCACACTGGATCATGCCCATCAGATTTCTCTGATAATCAGCATAAAGTGGAAAGGGGGGAGAAGAAATGAGGGAAGGACAGAAGAGGGCAATGATGCTGAGCCAATAGAAGTGAAGGCAGGGTTAGGGTGGGCTAGAGTGACGTGGGTGAAGGGAGGGGTTGCTGTGAGGTGAGGTGTAATGGAATGGGGTTACACTTTTAGGTTAAAGGTGGTTTGAGGTGGGTGAAAAGGGGGAGGCATTTTGTAGGGAAGGGAGTTGATTGCATTCCAATGCTTCTTGGAACAAGTGAAAAGTAGCGGTTGTTAATACTCTGTGGCCTGCAACGTGAACAGAGCTCTTGAGAGAGGGAGGTTCAGACCCTGTGTTGAAGGCACTCTAACTCTAACCCTTCACCATGCATATGAGTGGGAGGTCTGTCTTTGCTCTATAGGACCAATTCCTCCCGCTGCCACCAATTGCGCAGCCAGGTAAAGTGTATAAAAGCATTATTTATTTTCAGTTTTCATTCATCATCCTAATCAAATGACATGACAGCAAAACTTTAGAAATCAATCGTCCTCAACCAGTTTGAGGTGATCATATTGTATCACTGACAATGAAGCACAATGAGAGGACTTGTCAATGGGGCTAGCCTAGAGAGAAAAAGGTATTCGTCAAGTATTGTCAAAAGCTTTTTTTATATATATATATCATGGTACTTTCTTCTCCTCCACCCAATAACTACCGGAGTAAAGTCCATTCATATCAGTAAACACAGAGCCCAAATTAGCCACGAGTCCCGTTATCCAACTGATATCAGTTTAGTTTTCAATGTTCTAATACATATGTTGCTATGTACTATAGAGGATTAAAATGCTGCGCACATGCTTTATAGTCTTGCATTACATTGTTTGTAGCCACAACGCTACTTTACTATGTAAAGCCTATAGAATGGGGACGAGTGTAATGAAAGGTTTGTTACATAGGTACGTGCATGTTCAAAAGTCCCCCATTTAATCCGGATAGAATGAGGGTTAGGAAAAAGTGAAAGGGTGATTGAACTAAAGACTAAGGTTAATTGAGTGATTCAGCTAGCCAGAGAGTTAAACATACAAATACAAGGTGTTAGGTGTGGTCTTTAATTCGTAGCATGGGAAACATTGAGGAACAATGAAATTAGTGAGTGTGGAAGTAGGTGAGGAAAAAAACCAGTGGTGGTGAAATAATGAGTGACTTAGGAAGTAACCAAGAGTTACATGTTGAGGTAGCCATGTGTGTTACAGTATAAAGCAGATTAAGGATATTTGGTAGTGAGCCCCTTTCTCTTCAAATGTCACTGATGCACTGATGCAATGGTGGAGCAGGAGTAATCTCTTAAACCAGGTCTGATCCGCTCAATGAGGGGGTCTGTGGGACTAAAGCGGCCCAAATGGCAGCACAATGCCAGGCTCTGTGTTCCCATAGTCAGCCCTGAGCCCAAGGGCTAAGTTAAAGCTTTAGTGTGTGTGTGTGTGTGTGTGTGTGTGTGAGTGAACCAGCACCAGCACAGATAGTGGGACCATATAGGCTGCGTTTAGACAGACAGCCAAATTCTGATATTTTTCCACTTTTATTTTATATTTTTACCAATCACAGATCTTTTCACAGCAGCTCTTGTTCAGAGCTGATCTGCCTTTCCAAACAGGACTAGTTTTTGTTTCTGCTAAATCTAGTGTTGATCTAACAGTCGCTAAAGCTGCAGGATTTCTCTGTGACGTGTTCTGTGACGCCATACTGGCAGTTTTCTCTCAAACATCAGCAAGACACATGACCAAACAAAAAAGGTGGAAGGAAGGAACTTTATTTGATGAACTGTTCAGCTTCGCAAAAGGAAGCTCTAATGTAATGGCAACCATTAAATGTACATTCCCTAAGGCTGGGATTCATTCAAAGGCTTGTTTCAGCATTGCACTACTGCCAATGTGCCTTTTAATAACAATTTGAAATTGACAATTTCCCCAACGTAGGCGGAGATCGCATTCGTGGTAAACGCTGTGGACGTCGGCTCAAGCCTTTGTAAATCAAGTAAATTACAAGTGCAATGCGCTTGTCAACAATGCGCCTTTCATTGAATCCCGACCTAGGTTTGCCAGGGAACAGTCTTTGCAAGTCTAGCTTTTTTGCTTTTAAGTTTCAAACCTTACATGATTATGTCTAATCTTCCAACCCTGATCACATCCAAACAGACTTAGTTAAAGTGGCAATATGTAACTTTTTGGGCGACCTGACCAAATTCACATAGAAATGTGAGTTATAGAGCTGTAATTCTCATTGAAAGCAAGTGTAAGAAGCGGTAGGCCTGTTCTATGTGCCATATTTCTATGCTTCCCATTCTTAAGTTTCATTTTTGCATCTTTTACTTTCGGTTTTGTACACCAGCTTCATACAGCTGAAAATACAATATTTTGGTTATGGAAAATATATTTCACAGCGGTTTAGATGGTACAATGATTCTCTACACTATACTAGCTTATTTTGTCACATAAACTGAAATTAGGCGAACTATTAGAATTTTAGCAACCAGGAAATGGCAGAGCGATTTCTGCAGAGTGCAACCACAGATAGAACAATGAGACAGATATTTCACTGGATGTATAAATGTGAAGCATCCGCTTGGCGTTTCCACTCACTACCAAATATGGTAGTGAGAAGAAGCCTAGTGGCTGGCAGTTGGAGAAGATGGAATGGAGTGGACTAAGTTTTGTAGACTTTACCATTTGCCAAAGTTTTAAAAAATCACTTAGTTTAGGAGTGCAAAGGAGAATTGAGTTATTGCACACACACTTCACAGAGTAGGAATTCCCTAACAGAAATATGCAGATGCATGCTAGAACTGGCCAATAGGATCTCGCTAGCTCGAGCTTGGCTCTTCCCACCTCCTTGCTTGTTCTGCCCACTGACAAATTTGTTCCCATTGAAAATGACAGGCAACTTTTGGTGCAACTTTAAAACATCTATGTAAAATATGGAAGTAGATCACAGTTGTTTAGTTTGTACAGGCTCTTCCTAAAGGCACAGACAAGCTGCTCTTTAGAATAGCTGTTTTTTGTGTGTGTTATTATTATTATATTGTTATTTTATTTTACCCCCTTTTTTCTCCACAATTTCGATCTTGTCTCATCGCTGCAACTCCCCAACGGGCTCGGGAGAGGCGAAGGTCGAGTCATGCGACCTCTGAAACATGACCTGCCAAACCGCGCTTCTTAACACCCGCCTGCTTAACCCGGAAGCCAGCCGCACCAATGTGTCGGAGGAAACACGGTTAACCTGGTTGCCTCTGCCAGGAGGCTGAAACTTGGCCGCAAGTGGATCTTCCAGCAGGACAATAACCCCAAGCACACATCAAATTCCACAAAGAAATGGTTAATTCACCACAAAATCTAAATTTTGCAATGGCCATCTGTCTCCGGACATGAACCCCATTGAAAACCTGTGGTTTGAATTGAAGAGGGCTGTCCATAAGCGCAGACCAAGGATATCAAGGATCTGAAAATATTCTGCATGGAGGAATGGTCTAAGATCCCTCCCAATGTGTTCTCCAATCTAATAAAACATTTTAGAAAAAGGCTCAGCGCTATTATTCTTGCAAGGGGAAGGCGCTGGAGTATTGAAAACAGGTGTGGCAATAATTTTGACACCTATCTTGAGATTGTTTTTATTACTTCTTAAACAAAACCTCTTTCTCTGAGCAATTGTATTAATATTAAATCATTTTCCAATTTTCTTTAGCATACAATATAGCTCAGTATTTCTTTCTTTTTTTATACAGTATTTTTTGCTCATCTTATCAAGGGTACCAATAATTTCGGTCATGGCTGCAGGTCTGATGAAGCACACAGCAACATACGGTATAGAATGGTTACACTGTAGCACCTGCCCAAGACCAGTCTGCTCGTCAGTTTAAAATTGGCAGACATTTGATTTCCCAGTGGCTTCATCCACAACATTTATACACAAAAGTTTAAGGAGCTCTCTGGAGTAATTTAAGGAGTTCTCTGGAGTGATGAATCACACTTCACCATCTGGCAGTCCGACGGACAAATCTGGGTTTGGCGGATACCAGGAGAACGCTGTAAAGTTTGGTGGAGGAGGAATAATGGTCTGGGGCTGTCTTTCATGGTTCGGGCTAGGCCCCTTAGTTCCAGTGAAATATTAATGCTACAGCATACAATTACATTCTAGACGATTCTGTGCTTCCAACTTTGTGGTAACAGTTTGGGGAATGCCCTTTCCTGTTTCAGCATGACAATCCCCCCATGCACAAAGCGAGGTCAATACAGAATTGGTTTGTCGAGATCGGTGTGGAAGAACTTGACTGGCCTGCACAGAGCCCTGACCTGAACCCCATCTGGGTGATTACGGGAATGGTGGCTTTCCTGTCCCCCGCCTTAACCACCAGGGAAAAACACCCAAAAAAATCAGATAATGACACAAAATATATGTTTTTGTTTTAATTGAAGTGTTTTATTGTTAATAAACATATGTAAGACAGCTATATTGCAAATTATATTTTTCATATTATAGTAGAACATGGTCAGCACCATGAAAATGGCTTGTCCCTCGAGCCAGGAGTCATGGTTTAGTGACATATATGTCAAAATATTTTTTTTTTCTCCAACTTTAAATGTCATAATACAACAACAATAAAAAAATTACATATATATATTATAAATAATTTACAGGGAATAGCTGTCCCTCAATTTCATGTCACTGGTATTACCCTTAATAAATACAAAACACCACTTTGAAAAAATGCAACATTCTGTCAACTTCTTCCTGGGTCAAAGGTTCATTGGAGGCGGGGCTGTTTTGAAGAGTGCATGGTGAGTCTGCACTCTCTTCATATGTTAGCAATTTTATGATTCATTTGGTAATTTAATGTGAAGCTTTAAAACCCATCACTGGTGTTATACAGTTTATAGTATGGGGAAAGGAAATATGATTGATCCAATCACATTATTAAATTATTGATTTACAATTTAAAAAAGTGTGGTTTGAGCGACTGTGAC